CAGGACAGAATGGGGTCAGGCAAGATCTACTTTAGCTACGCAAGAGGGAAAGGGTGGGAAAAAGACACTCCAAAACACTCCATCTTCAGATGAAGACTTTGGAGACTAGGTACTGTTACCTGTTTACTTTGTTATCTACTAAGTAATAAGAGATGCACAAAAGCTAAACTACTTGAGAAGCTAAGAACTACGCAGCATCTCAGCGTTACCTTCTGCAATCCAGAAGTAAAAGTTGAAATTTGAAAGAAAAGGAAAAGGTTATTTTTGTCATGAAACATCCAATACAGTTACAACAGTGACTGCGCTTTATGAGCACTGATGGGTTGAGCTTACCTTCTTGCCAGCTCCAACATTTGCTTTAGCTGTTCCTCTGACTTTCTTCATCCTGTTCTTACGTTCTTTACGCTGTTTCCTTGAAGTCTTTTTCTTTTCATACAAACCATGCTAGTAAAAGGAAAGCAAAGTAAATCACTCAAAGTACACACTGGCATTCAACCTTGGACAGTCATAGCATTGGAAAGGATCTCAAAAAGACATCCAGTCCAATCCTGCTGCCAATGCAGGAAATCCACTACAGTGCTCAGGTTACGAACTTAATTCGTTCTGGTTCGTTCTTAACCCAAAGCATTCTTAACCCAAGGCGTGCATTCCCTACATAGGCCTCCCTGCAGCCCCAGAAGTGGACTGCGTTTATATCCCGGGGCAAAGTTCACAATCCAGGACACCAACTTCCGGGTTTGCAGAGTTCGTAACCCAAAGCGTTCATAAGCAGGACTGTTCGTAACCCAAGGTACCACTGTACAACATCCCTGGTAGGTGGACATTCAGCCTCTACTTAAAAATGTAACAAAGCAGAGCTCACCAGCTTCCAAGGCAGTTGACTCCAATACTGAACAGCTTGTAAAATGCTTTTTCTTCTCATTTGAACCCAATAGTCATACCTTGGTTTTTGAACAGCTTAGTTCTCAAACATTTTCGCTCCCGAACGCCACAAACCCGGAAGTGACTGTTCCAGTTTGTGAACTATTTTTGGAAGCCGAACATCCGATGGGGCTTTCACGGCTTCCTGCAGCCATTCAGAAGCTGCACTTTGGTTTCCGAACGTTTTGGAAATTGAACAGACCTCCAGAATGGATTCTGTTCAACTTCCAAGGTATGACTGTACTTCAAGTTGTGGCCTCTGAAGGGACATAAGGCAAATTCACTCTCTCATTTATATGACAACTCTTCAAAAGTTGAAGATGGCTCTCATTGTTATGTTCTAAACTCTAATCCAGGCTCAACACACCCAGATCATTTGAGCCCTTCCTCACAAGACTTGGTAGCCAGGCCTCTTATGATTTATGTAGGCACACTAAAAAGTGGTGATGTTGGCAATTTCAGTAGTAGTAGTAGTAGTAGTAGAAGAAGAGGAGGAGTTTGGATTTGATATTCCGCTTTATAACTACCCGAAGGATTCTCAAAGTGGCTAACATTCTCCTTTCCCTTCCTCCCCCACAACACTCTGTGAGGTGAGTGGGGCTGAGAGACTTCAAAGAAGTGTAACTAGCCCAAGGTCACCCAGCAGCTACATGTGGAGGAGAGGAGACACAAACCTGGTTCACCAGATTACGAGTCTACCACTCTTAACCACTACACCACACTGGCTCCTACTAGACTGTAATGGCAAGCACTCATAGGAACAGGAAGTTGTTACAAGTTAACCATGGGAGAATCGTTGGATTGTACACAGTTGAAAGGGATTACAAGGGTCTTCTAGTCCAATGCAGGAATCTTTTGCCCAATGTAGGGCTCAAACCAACAGCCCTGAGCTTAAGAGTCTGATGCTCAACTAACTGAGCCATCCCAACTGAGCACAGCATCTGCTTTGCATGAAAAGGGTCACTGCAATGAGGGGACGGACAAGACACATATAGATATAAATAAAATACTGATACAATATCAACCTTCTTAATACCACTAAGTACAACAATAGTTTAAGATACCACTTTAAAATAAAAAATTCAACAGGAAGAGTGCATCTTTAACAGAACAAACACCTCAAAAGGTCCCAGAAAGAAAAACCATTTAGCACGACCACCCCAGTCTGTCCAAACAAGGTAAACAACCGAAGAAGCCTACCCTGGCTAGTCTGTGCTTTGGTTCATTTTTCTTTGCATAGTCGAGGGAATCGTAGATCATGCCAAAGCCTGTTGTCTTCCCACCTCCAAAATGAGTCCTGAAGCCAAAGACGAAAATGACATCTGGGGTTGTCTTGTACATTTTGGCCAACTTTTCGCGGATTTCAGTTTTGGGAACAGTGGCCTTTCCAGGATGAAGAACATCTATCACCTATAAATACAGAATTGGCAAAACATTAAACACTTTTAATGTATTGGGGGGGGGGAGAGACCTATGAATGCAAAGAGCTTCACAAAAGTTACTATTCGTGAGCTACTTTACTTTGTCATACACACATAGGCCCTAAACATCCTCTACGGAAATCCAGCTGTCCCCCAGCACTGATGTTATTCAGGTGGCAATAAAAAAACCTATTTATATTTACATACTTTTTGCACATAGTGCAGATGGCAGTCCTGCAAAAATCTACTGGGTAGGTTTCACCTAATGCCAGTGGAAGAACTTTAAAAGGGCTTCTTTAATAGGAAGCATTTGTTAGGGAAAATTCAGGTTCCACTGCCACATTCTGGAATATAGCTAGTAATTTCTTTAGCTTCTAGTCTTCCTGTACAAAGCATTCTTAAGTTCAGAGTCTATTACAGCTAGCTTCAGTTGGAAGGCGGGATCACTGGTGTTCAAATATATATTAACTTATGAACTAGAAAGTTAACAATACATTCAACATATAAATGAATATAAGATTGATAAATCTGAGTAGCCCTTGTTTACCCTCACATAGAAACATTGACAAACCAGCTGGGCCATTCCAACTTTCCAATGCACTCCTTGCTATGCCACAGTATGTTATCATGCCAAAAAAAAAAAACATTAATGGCATGACCATTTATCAGATATTTTAGTAATCTAAAAGAAAACTTCTCGATAACCATTCAAGAAACTTTGCTTATAACTGCAACTCAGGATATTAACACAGTAACAAAAACAGATCAACACACTGTAGCGTCCCAAAATATAATGCTATATTACTAATTAATCCAGGAAAAACACTGCAGTCGCTAAATTTACCAACCTCAGCTGTAACAGACACTGAACTTTATGTATGTGAAAATTAGGCTGTGATTATGAATGAATAAAAGTATTAACACATCTGCCTCACCATCTGCTTACGCTGAAGCAGCCTGTTGGTCATGAACTTCCTTGTTCGGATGGTGACCGTGTCGTTCTGCAACAAAAAAACAAAATTCAAAGACACCATGTGTATTAATGTCTGCCAAAGCAACGATTTGAAGCTACCTTAAAGTGCCAAATTTCAACCATTTTTCAAGGGAGGGGTATAAACTGCTACCTACCCCCACCCTGCCTCTGAAGTTTAGGCAGATATGAAATAAAACAATAAGATAAAATAGCGATTCATTGAACTAGCAGCCCTTCCATAAATCCGGCGCCCTCCAAGTGGTTGAGATTCCCAAATCTCGCCAGCCCCGGCCAGCACGGCAAGGGATGGTGGAAATTGGGGATACAGAAACAGCAGCAGCACCTTGGGAGAAAGCTGATACAGGAGAGGGCATTTTAACACACACACACACTCCGCCATCCCCGTTTACTGGTAGACCAGGCCGCACACTAAGCCCGAAAGCAGAGCGGTGGAGGGGGGGCGCCGTTCAGAGCGCGAGCCGGACCCCTAAAACTCCCTCCTCCCGCCCAATAACCGGCCCAGCACAACCATAAAGCCCCGCTTAAGGGAGAGCAGTCGCTCCGAAGGCCAACGGGCAAAGGATGGCGCGGGGCTAATTCGGATTGAAGCCGCCTCTCCCAGGGAACTCGAGGGAGCCCGACGAGAACTCACCATCTTGGCGGCGTCTCCGGCAAAAGGAAGGAAGGAACTTTCGCCAGCCAATCATATAGCGGCGCTCGCGCGGAGGAAAAGGAGGCGGGCCTTCGCGTCCAAAGGGGTGGGCACAGAAAACGCGTCGACGGGCGACCATAGAGACTTCCGAGTGTCGGTACGGATGCCTGGGTGACCTCTTTACTAAGAAAGGAAAGAACCTCGTTTCCAAATCGCTGACCTGCGTGTCGGCTTTTCTTTGTATCGTGAGGACAAAGAACGTCGGCTTTAAACCCTTTAAGGTTGCCTGTCATAAGGCACCGCTCGCCTGCCAGCTAATCTCACAGCTTCACTTGATAGATGACTGTTATATATTCAATATCTATGCCGCCTTTCGTCTGAAGAAACACAGGGCGGTTTACAGTAGAAAAACACAAAAATTGCAGCTTGCTGTAAGAATGGACAACAACTATTAAAAGATGACCTGGATATTAAACAAGTTGTGGCAATAGGAAGAAGAGATGGACGTATGCTCGCAACGGGAGTGGGAAACCTGATTTTAAGAAATTGCATTACATTAAAGACATTTGGACGGATTTGTAATAATTTGGAAAACTAATAAAAATATTATTAAAAAGAAAAACACAAAAATACATACCATAAGAACAAACGAATGCACACACTTTAAAAGGCCACAATAGATGGTTTAATCAGCAAAGGGCTAATTAATGAAAAGGCAGGGAAGCAAAGAAATATTTTGCAATACGAAAGTACCAAAATGCGCAATATAGTTGTGGTTCCAAACCGCCCTGCGATCCTCGGGTGTTGGGAGTCGTAGAAATTCAATAATAATAATAATAATAATACAAATTTCTCTGGTCTGGGGCGGCTGGCAGGTGGGTCCCCCCGCGCGCGCTCTCTCTCACCGGCGCGCTCTCCTTCCCTTTCGTTGCACCTCCGGCCATTAGGTGGCGCTGCGACGCCGGGTGGCTGCGGCTCCGAAAGCGGCGACCCTTCGCGGCGACGCACGACGCACGCGCCCGATGCCCGTCTGCCGGCTCCGGTGTGCAGCTCGCTTAGGGGAAGGAGGAGGCGGCGGCGTTGGCTCCGCACGGCTCCGTTCTCTTTCCTTGCGCCGTCCCCGGGCGAGAGAGGGGAGCCGCCGCCATGGTGAAGGAGCAGTTCCGCGAGACGGACGTGGCCAAGAAGATGTAAGCGGGACTCGGGGGGCGGCGAAGAACAAGCTTGTCAAGTTTGGGGGGCGAGGAAAGTGGTCCGTTGAGTGGTGTGGAGGGGAATGGTGCAGCAGCACGGGAGGCACCTTACAGAGAGCCCCTTTTGGAAAGCAGGAGGGATCATTTATTTTTATTTATTTATTTTGAAAATGGTTTTTATTTGATTTTACAAGCGTAGAGTTATAACAATGCCAAGTACAAATATCCACATTTAGAGAGTTCTCCGAATCTCCAGACTTCCCAGCATCCCCCTCCCCTTATTGTCAGCATTTTCAACTGCATATTATTTCATAATCCATATTTTGTATCTGTCCATAATTGTCCACAGTGGTTGTTACATTACAAGTGTTATTCAAATCCTGCTATTGTTTTCATCTGCTTACAGTGGTCTCCTAAATAAATTATAGAATTTCCCCATTCTTTCTTAAAGTTTTTGTCTTCTTTGCTTATCCTGGGATAAATCTATTTTTGGCTCAGCCAAAAAAAGAAAGGAAAGGAAAAGGAAGTATTTTGGAAATCTAAATACAGTATAAGCAATTTTGTTTACATTAGATGGCTATATTTTCTGCTTGCATTTTCTTTTTTGCAAGCGTAGCTTGCCCTGGGACTTTATTAGGGTGGGGAATAAAGTAAAATACAGTGGTTTCTCGGGTTAAGAACTTAATTTGTTCTGGAGGTCTGTTCTTAACCTGAAACTGTTCTTAACCTGAAGCACCACTTTAGCTAATGGGGCCTCCTGCTGCCGCCGCGCCACTGGAGCACAATTTCTGTTCTTATCCTGAAGCAAAGTTCTTAACCTGAAGCACTATTTCTGGGTTAGCGGCATATGTAGCCTGAAGCATATGTAACCCGAGGTACCACTGTAATACAAAAAAGTAATTTTCTGTAGTATTTAAACATGCCTTCCTCTTGTAGTCAGCATTTTCCCTTGGTTGTAGGATTCCGTGGTTCTATATTATGCATGTTGACTTGGCAGCAAGTCCCATATAAGTCTGCGTGAGGTTTGCATCCTTATACACAGAGTTTCTCTGGCCTGTGCCCTCAAGAAAGTACTTCTTTACACAGCACATAGTTTAAAGGATGGAACTTGCTCCCACAGGATGACCACCAACCTAGATGGCTTTAGAAGAGGATTAGACAAATTTGTAGAGGGCTGTCGATTGCTGCTAGCCATGGTGGCTATGCTCTGTCTCCACAGATGTAGGCAGCAATGCTTCTGAATACAATTAAGTTTGTAACTAGAGGTGCCACTGTACCAACCAGTTGCTGGAAGTCACAGGAGGGGAGAGGGCTCTTGGGCTCGAATCTTGCTTGCTGGTTTCCCACAGGCATTTGATCGGCCACGGTGAGAACAGGATGCTGGACGAGATGGGCCCTTGGCCTGATCCAGCAGGCTCGTCTTATGTTGGATAAAATGTAAAATGCCAAAACAAAAGACAAAGCAGCAGGAAATCTCAGGTGGTTGCTGGTCTCTTCTGTTGAAATCAGCAGGCTGTTTTTATGTTCTTAAGTGAGGAGGCATCAGGGACTTCATGCTTTCTATCACCTGTGGCTGTGCTTCTAGAAGTTTCAGCATCGCTAGCCACCCAACAACATTTCTGAATATTATCTAATGGCAACTTGTCACAGAAATAGAAGCTTCTGAGGCATAATCATTTGTGATAAAATATTTTCTTTAAAAATCTACTTTTCCACAGTGTAACGTAGAATGAGCTCCCACCTCTTGCTTCTTGTCTCACTTCACGTTATGACAGATAGACTATAGAAGGGAAGAGGATAAGATCCAGCTATTAAACTCAAGCATCCTTGCTGTCTGTGTACATGAGCGCTTGTTTATGGTGTCGGGGGTATGTGCAATACTCAGGAAAATATGTGTTTTTAATTCACTTTTTGGCTTAGTCTTCAGCTAGCCAAATAAGGCTTCGTGTCTTATGTGAATCGTACATTTAAGGGAGACTCTTGACCAATATTGGAGATTACAATGGGTGGTCTGTTGGGGCCAGGCCACTCATGGCTTTATATGCTAAAGTCCGCACACTGAATTGTGCTTAGAAGGCTGCAAGATATAAATACAGAAGTCTGGTGTGCTGGATTCTTGGTATTGCTTACTTGTCAGAGGCAAGTCACACTCTGTATAAGCAGAGACTTCAAAATAGTCATCCAGGGTATCTCCATTTTGTGATATATCTGGTGGTGTTTTCTGTTCTAGAAGCCACATCTGCTTTGGGATGAAGTCTCCAGAAGAGATGCGACAGCAGGCTCACATCCAGGTGGTTAGTAAAAACCTATACAGTCAAGACAACAATCATTCACCTCTGCAGTATGGTGTACTGGACCACCGAATGGTAAGACCTTTTGTTGTTCAATCATATCCCACAATGCATATCTCTAGTTAGAAAGGATCTGGGTTGCAGGACTTTGAAAAAACGCAACCTGTGGAACTGCTGTCAGGCAGAGGAGATAGGAGAGAGATGGGTGACTTGACAATATAAAACAGCTTTGGATGCTTACATTCCAAAAGCGTTTCTTTACACACCAATTACTTTCAGATCATATCAGTCTTTTCTAGTGTGCAAAATGTATGTCGACGAAAAACTTACTTGAGGTCTAGAATTATAGGCTAAAATAAAGCTTGCTTTCTGTAGTCTGGTTTTCTTTTACTGAAAAGAAGAGCACTTGGTATGCACGCTTGTTTGTGGCTGAATAATTGTGTATGGATGCATGTGTGTGTGGACTTGCGAGAACTAAGATCCTTGTGAGTTCTAAGATTACAAAGGATTAATAAAGCCATATAGTGCCCATGACACATAATTAGTAGTGGGATGTCTTAATTCATTAGAGAGCAGCTTGACAATATCTTATCTATTTAATTTGATTTATTAAATTTCTATACTGCCCTTCATCTGAGAACCACAGTGCAGTTTACAATATAAAAACCCAAAAATACATAACGTAGTAGCAAACAAAAATAATACACACAGAGAAAGTGTGCGTGTATTTAAAAGATTGTTTAATTAGTCAAAGTCCTGGGAGAAGAGGAATATTTTTGCCTGCCACCTAAAGATACGTAGAGAAGGCGCCACTGTTAATTGTTTTATGCATTTCTACTCCCAAGGGTACAAGTGAGAAGGATCGTCCCTGTGAAACTTGTGGAAAGAATCTGGCGGAGTGTTTGGGTCATTATGGCTACATTGACCTGGAGTTGCCTTGTTTCCATGTGGGGTACTTCAAAGCCGTGATAGGCATTTTGCAGGTAAAGTTGCATTTCATGTCAAGGACTGGAGATGACAGAGATTGAGGGACACTTGACATGCTATTCCTGTTGTGGGCCATTGCCTGTGATGATGTCCTCTGATAGGAGACCAGGGTTCAAATTTCCACTCAGCCATGAAGATCACTGGGTGACTTTGGCTCAGTCATTCTTTCTCAGCCTATCCTACCTCTCAGGGTTCTTGTCAGGGTAAAATGGAGAGGAAGAGAACTATGTATGCTGCCTTGAGCTTACTGGAGGGAAGGTGGACTAGAAATTAATTACAGTACTGTGCTTACCTGATGTTCAATATATAAAGTTTCTGAGTAGTTATTAGTAATGAAGTGCTCAGTAGAATAGAATTCTCCCCACCCCCCAAAGCATTCATATACAGTGGTACCTCGCAAGACGAATGCCTCGCAAGACAAAAAACTCGCTAGACGAAAGGTTTTTCCGTTTGCGAGTTGCCTCGCAAGACGAATTTCCCTATGGGCTTGCTTCGCAAGACGAAAACGTCTCGCGACTTTGTTTCCTTTGTCTAAATAATAATTCGCAAGACTTAGAATTCGCTAGACGGCAAAACTTGCGGAACGAATTAATTTCGTCTTGCGGGGCACCACTGTAGATATTTGGGCTTTTGCCATTTCCTTGGATTTACTGCATAGCATAGCTTTGAAGAAGTATGCATGACAGGAATGCATTCAACCTTCCACAGTGTCCCTGTATGTGCATATAAATTTATGGAGTGTTCAAAGGTGTATTGGTTGACGGCAAATTGTGTTTTTTGCTTCTGCTCTAGATGATTTGTAAGACCTGTTGCCGTATCATGCTGACCTTCGAAGAACAGAAACAGTTTTTGGATTATCTGAAGAGACCTGGCTTGACCTACCTCCAGAAACGGGGTTTGAAAAAAAAGATCTCTGAAAAGTGCAGAAAAAAGAACACCTGCCCATATTGTGGGGCTTTTAATGGTGAGTGCATTAATCTGCCCTTTGGGCCTTAAGGAACTTGAGTCTGGAACCGCTTAAGGGCTTGAGAGCCTTACGGATCAGACAGGGGACCACCTGGTCTAGCATCCTGTTTTCACAGTGGCCAGCTAGATGCCTATGTGAAGCTTGCAAGCAGGGATCCAAGGGATCCAAGAGCTCTCTCTGCTCCTACAGTTTCCAGCAGCTGGTATTCAGAAGGGTTCAGAACTACTTCACGGACGGATAGGCAGTATAAGACTGCCTCATATTATCACGGGTATTTGATTATAGATAGTGTCTTATTTTTGTTGTTGTTGAGATTTGCTATGTGCCTGTCACTCTCGGCTTTTAAAATTGTTGCTTGACATTAAGAGTTGCTGCAATTTCTTGGTTGCTGTTTTATAACCGAGATTATGTAATGCCTGAAAAAACCAATTTGAACCAAACATTCTTAGTCTTAGTGACTAAACCACAATACAGTAACCTTATTCTACTGAAGGTTTTGGCCGGTGTGTCTCCTGCGCTCCTCATTTTTTCTAATTCTGTTTGTAAAACATTGAGCATGACTCTGGAGTGCTGACCGATGTAAAGTATTAAAATGCAAAAATGTGTGAGCAAATTTTCTGGATATTCTTGTAGGTACTGTAAAGAAGTGTGGCTTACTGAAGATAATCCATGAGAAATACAAGACGACGAAGAAGATAGTGGACCCCATTGTGTCTAACTTCATACAGTCCTTTGACACTGCTATAGAACATAATAAAGAAATTGAATCCCTACTGGGGAAAGCCCAGGTAAATAATAAGAAACCTGTGCAGTCTTGTATTGTTTCAGTTTTCTCTTACTTTGGGAATGGGGGTTTCTCTTAGGTTGAAACAAACCAAGGATTTTTTTCGCAAAAGAATTTCTTGATGCTTAGTGCCTAGAGGATGGTAGCCTATCTTAGTCACGTTTTTGCTCTGCAGCGGGGTGGATTTGATTTAAATTGATTTAAACATTATAGCATGTGTATCCCTTTTTGTTAACTGATAATAATAATAATATAATAAAATTATTTATATCCCGCCCTCCCCAGCCGAAGCTGGGCTCAGAGCAGCTAACAGCAATAAAAGTAACACAGCATTCTAAAATCAATATTCTAAAATCAATTCAAAATCAAATGGCAACCACTGGGCCAGAGCTCTACGAGGATCGCCAAAGGAGGGGGTCAGACTGTGCCTTGGCCAAAGGCCTGATGGAACAGCTCTGTCTGTGGTTAAACAATTTTTTTTAAAATTAGCACACATAAAAATCTTAAAACAAATCCTTATTTCCTGATGGATAGCCTTTGGACTATAATGTAACTTAAATAGAAAGTTTCTAAAGAAAACTATCTTTAGAAAGATTTTTTCTCGAAAAGCATTGTATATTAAAAATCCGATTTAAATTTTTTTAAAATCCAGTTATTATTTTATAAATCATTGATTTCTATCCACCCTGCTCTGCAGTGTTCAGTAGCAGACAGCACAGCAGGGTTTTGCCTTTTATTTGACCTCCCTCCCACCTAGACACTGCTGCATACAGGGAGGGATAAGTTCGGTATGGAGCATTCATGCCAGCAGGGCCAATCTGGTGCTTCTGCCACCAAATTTGCACCATATTAACCTCACCACTTTCCTGCCCTCCGCCACCCTGTATGCAACAGTGATCCGGGGGGGGGGGGGAGGTCAGGTAAGCGACGCAGCCTTCCTCTGCTATCATAGCATTTATAAAACCAGTGAAGTGCCTTCTCTTGTCTACCCAACCTACAGATGGTTCACAACACCTTAAAAGAAGTTGGAGAGATTGTAGCGCAGCAGCTGAGTGTGTGGCTTTCTTGCAAAACCCTAGATTGAAAGCATTTCCAATTTAGTATGCAATCTTCCACTTACCTGGGAGCAAGTCCCATTGAACTTAGGCTTACTTCTGACAGTTGCATTGTTGCAGGGGTTTTTTTAGCAGCAAGCCTGTAAGAGCTTGACTGCGTGTGATCCTTGAGAATTTGGTTTGAGATGGTCAGAGATGGGATTCTCAGGCTCTAGGAATCACTAGTCTAAGGCGGTCCCTTATCATTTCTGTCATCAAACTCTAATAATGGTTATTTGCCATGTGTGAGAGATGATGAGTGGGTGGTGACGAAAAGCCAGACATTCTTATTTTCTTGTCATGGAGGGAGGAAATGTAGCACAGGAGCCTGTGAAAGTACATGTGTTGTTGTACCAAAATCATTGAGTTATTGTGTGGGCTGAATCACTATAAATCTTGGCTGCCGCTCGAAGAGCTGAATGTTCACTTTGCACAGTCTCCCAACTGCTGTGATCGGCTTGAATTTTGTCAAGGAAAGCTTTTAGCCTTGTGTGTCTCCTGGTAACAGCCTGCAATTCCATTAGATGCCCTGCCTCATACTCTTAAAACAATTGTGTCTGGGCAGCAAGTGTACTTGGCCTTCATAAGCAAATACGCAGTCTAGACTCTGGGTTCTGTGTGTGTATGAAGCCACATATACTTGAAGTGTGTGGATGCAGTAGTTCAGGGGTCAGCAAACTTTTTCAGCGGGGGTCCAGTCCACTGTCCCTCAGACCTTCTGGGGGGCCGGACTATATTTTGGAAAAAAATATGAATGCATTCCTATGCCCCACAAATAACCCAGAGATGCATTTTAAATAAAAGCACACATTCTACTAATGTAAAAACACGCTGATTCCTGGACCATCCGTGGGCTGGATTTAGAAGGCGATTGGGCTGGATCCGGCCCCCGGGCCTTAGTTTGCCTACCCATGCAGTAGTTGTTAGCATGTTTTTTCAGCTTACTGGAATGTGTCCTTGGACTATGACAATGCTATTCCTTGCCTGGAAGGTTCATTTGCATGTGTGTAGAAACCTCTGATCTATATGTGGCTGGCTTATAGCCTACTGTACAAAGTACAGTACTTTATACCATTGTTCTACCCACCTTTTTTGTATAGGGGATGGCCCAATAACTTTAGGAAATAGGCAAAGTTTGAGAAATGTCTGCTTAAGCCTTTTAAGCCTTTGTGTTCTAAAGAAAGTAAAGAACACATTTGTGATCCTTAAAACATGAAATGCTGGCACAACATTTCGCTTTTCCTTGTGGTTTTAAAGCTACTTGACAAATCAGTGGACAAGGCACTGCTTGAGTCTTAGCCAAAAACTGAGTTTCCCGCTCTGCAATGATAAAAGTGTGATTGTAACCTTTTACGTTTTGTAGGAGAACTTGAATCCTTTAGTGGTTTTAAATATCCTAAAGAGAATTCCCGCAGAAGACATCCCTCTGCTTTTGATGAACCCCGAATCCGGCAAGCCTTCGGACTTGATCCTGACACGACTCTTGGTCCCCCCGCTCTGCATTAGGCCATCCGTGGTGAGCGACTTAAAATCCGGCACCAACGAGGATGACTTAACGATGAAGCTGACGGAAATAATTTTCCTCAATGATGTGATCAAAAAGGTGAGTTGCCCTTTAATTTTATATTTGTGGTTAAAGTAGGTATGGATTGTGCTTCTTAACAGTGCTTTTTAGAATGCCGTCCTAAATTCATATGCTATTAGCTTTTGAATTTGTAGTAAAATGCATGGCTAGTGTCCATAGGAGACACCTTATTTTAGGCCGTCTTCCAGCTCTGTGAGTGCCTGAGTTTCATTGCATTCTTTTTCTAAGCATATATACGTGAGGTTGGTCTGGGCCTGGGGTTGCCATAAAGTTCCTGACCTCTTAACTCCTTTCCTACCATGCAAATCTCCTATCCCTTCTGCTTATATCTATGGTGTAATGTTATTTCTGCATCAGCCATCCTTAATGAGCTTGTGGCTGGGGCAGGGATTGAACCAGGCTCTTCCAGAATCTGCAAATTCACAAAGATATTTTTTTTACACAGGAGCAAAACACAACAGAGACCAGGGACAAAGCCATTTCTCAGCTCCAGAGAATTCTCTTTTTGGGCAACCTTGCAGGGGTTAGGGTGCAATATGTTCCTAATCAAAGATCTTAACTGCAGCTGTAATATATTTGGTCTGGTAAAAGTTCTCAGATCTTGAGTTCACATCTGGAAGTCCATATTCAGAATTGCTCTGAAATGGTTACTACTCTGGTTATTTTTGCTCTTTCCTTGTTTTGCAATAAAACTTTGTGAAAGAAATTTGATTTGGTATTCTCATAAGAACATCGTTACATCCTTGCAGAACTTGCCGAATGTTCCCTAGAACTATGGAGTTGCTTTTGTTGAAATTTCCTTTCTTGAATTGGCTGTTTTGTTGTTGGGCAGCATAGAATATCAGGAGCCAAAACTCAGATGATAATGGAGGACTGGGACTTCCTGCAGCTGCAGTGCGCTCTGTACATCAATAGTGAACTCTCTGGCATTCCTCTCAACATGGCACCCAAGAAGTGGACACGAGGCTTTGTTCAAAGACTGAAGGGAAAGCAGGGTAGGTGTTTCAGCATTATCTCTGGCTCCTGCAGCTATCACATCTGATCATGTGAAGTCCCCTTACGTCATGTCCATCTAGCCCCAGTATTGGCTAGTCTGACAGAAGCTCTTTCTGGAGTCTGGTGGCAGAACCTTTTCCAAACGCTGTTCAGGTTTACATTTATTTCTTGGATTTTTATCTTGCTTCCCAAAGCAGTTTTTAGGGGGAAGTAATGAGAGCGGGTGGCGCTGTGGGTAAAAGCCTCAGCGCCTAGGGCTTGCCGATCGAAAGGTCGGCGGTTCGAATCCCCGCGGCGGGGTGCGCTCCCGCTGCTCGGTCCCAGCGCCTGCCAACCTAGCAGTTCGAAAGCACCCCCGGGTGCAAGTAGATAAATAGGGACCGCTTACTGGCGGGAAGGTAAACGGTGTTTCCGTGTGTGGTGCTGGTGCTGGCTCGCCAGATGCAGCTTTGTCACGCTGGCCACGTGACCCGGAAGTGTCTTCGGACAGCGCTGGCCCCCGGCCTCTTGAGTGAGATGGGTGCACAACCCCAGAGTCTGTCAAGACTGGCCCGTACGGGCAGGGGTACCTTTACCTTTACCTTAATGAGAGCAAACTCATTTGTGTGTTGAGCTCTGTTACCAACTGCTGAAAGTGGGATATAGACTATCCCTCTGGGGTCATGTATTTCAAACGGTGCAGTTATATCGTAATGGTCAATATGGGCTTTGTAGCTTTTGTTTGTTGGACTTGCCAGGCAGACTCTGCAGCTGACTGTCAAGGCGCTTGGCAGCAGGCTACTAGTGCATTTGTGCACATTAACACTTGCTAGTGAGTTTTAACCCTTTTATTTCCTGATACAATCGGTAAATCAAAATGAGCACAGTTGAATCTGCTATATTTTGTGCTATGGAGGTTGCTGTTCATTATACCTAATGTCCTCCATGGTTTTGCCCCCACCTTAATTTCACACCCTTCCTGTACCAATACATCTCTGTCTATGCCCTTAAATCTTCCAGCTCAATCCTTAGTCATCCAAAAGTCTACTTGCTAGCTTAGATAACTCCACCTTTGTTATCCGTTATACCTGTGTAAAACTCTCTTCTAAGAACATCTGCACAACAACAACATCTCTCTCGTCCTTCAAATACCTTCTTAAAATTCACTTTCTTCATGAAGCCTTTGGTTTAACCCTCTTGCCATCATCACTTACTGAAACGGAGCTGAAATATATTCAACAGAATTGAATTCATATTCTCCTGGTTCCTTCGTCCCCAGCTACCCTATTGCTTATTCCTGGGTCACATTTTCAGACTCTGTACATTGATAACACCAAATAATAATAAAGAATAATAGCTTCGGTTTATTTTCTTTGTGGAAGATCAAAGGGTTTTTTTCTTGACCGGCTTCAACTTTCTCTCTTTTCTCGCCTCCCTCCACTTCCTTTAAGGTCGGTTTAGAGGAAACTTGTCTGGAAAGCGAGTGGACTTCTCGGGCAGAACAGTGATCTCGCCTGACCCAAACCTGCGCATTGACGAAGTGGCTGTGCCTGTTCATGTTGCAAAGATACTAACGTTTCCTGAAAAGGTAATTGGGAGAAAATGAAATTTCTATTGTGTGGTGCAGTCCCTTGCTGTAGTAGCTTCTAGAGAGTCTGCACATGGTTCTATCAAGATCAGATCTCAAGCTTTGTTTGAATCACCAAGTGGAATTAAACACCCTTTTGACTTAGGCTTTACTTGGAAAAGAGATGGATGTCAGACTTGCTCCTGGTATCATTCCATGTCAAGGACAGGCTCATGTCCTGTTGATAGAAATTTAGCTGTATGTTGTCTGTTCCTTAAATTCAGAAGCTAATCTGGTATCTTCACAATAGCATTCCCCCCCTGCTCCTTGCACTCTTGCCAAGCTGAAAGGTCATTTAGTATGTATATTTTTATAGATGACATCCAATAATCTTGAAAAGAGTTGTAGTATGTGCACAAGAATAGGGCTAGCCCAAACATGGAACTTAGCAAGTCCTCTAGTGCTAACATTCCAGAAGTGTCTCCTTCTGTTTTCAAAATGCCTTGACGAGACCACCAAGTGGAAGAAGAGAACAGAGGCATCTTGTCAGTTGTGTGATATAAAGGGATAGCCCAGGGTATTGAAGTATTACCCTGTTACAAAGGAGTGACAGGCATTTAAACTAACAGCAAGAAAATGCTATCTTGACTTAACTCTTGATCGTTTAATATGTTGTTGTTTGTGCTGCCTAGTATATAATACAGAGAAAATCACATAACTATGATTTACCCAGGGCAGCAAAAATTATTGGCAAAGCTTCACAAGAATTGTGCGAGTTTTTCGCCTTTAACTTGAGCATTCCTATTACAGGTGAATAAAGCTAACATCGACTTTATGAGGAAACTTGTTCGGAATGGTCCAGAGCTTCATCCTGGTGCCAACTTCATTCAGCAGAGGCACACACAGATGAAAAGGTGTGGCCATGTATCTGAAATAGACTCATTTTACTTCAGTCACTTGATTTGAAAGTTTAGGGCTTGTTTTGAACATACCAAGAGACAATCTGGATTCTTCCCCACCCCCCTTTTCAGTTTCACTGATTCTTGCCTAAGATGCTAGTCTTGTTTGTGTAAACATTCCAAATTTGTTCCTTATACAATTCACTAAGTACTTGCCTTGAAAAGCAGTGGCACATCTGGTGGGCAAAACTTAATTTTGATCCAGTTGCTGTGTGCATGTGACCTTCAAAAATAGGTCTTCTGCAAAAGTGTGTTGAGGGTAAGCTAAGTCCCCTTCTCTTCTCCCATGAACTGCTGATAATCATAATTACTAGGACTAGGGTCTGCAGCCTTTCAGTGGGTAGGTGAAGTGATTAAAAACACTGAACTAAAAAGGCACAAAGGAACACACCCCAAGTTAAGTGAGCAACATAGGTTCAAAAGTCAAGAGTTGTATAATGTGAGTCCTTATAAAACTGCAGCTAGCAAGTACTGTCTTAAGAGATATTCCTTCTCACGCAAGAGGGAATGCCCTTTCTGAGAGTGCACATGTATGGGTTGCATTAGGCAGCATCTAAAAATGGATGTTTTCCCCCATTCCAAAATCTATATTCATACATGTGTCTTAAGCGTTCTTTAATGATGATAACTTTTGTAAATTGTTGGTGTTTTCTGCATCCATTTGCACAAGTAGATTCTCACCCTCCCTCTAACTTTAAAAAGTTACCTTCACTGTTGTAAAATGGTATGGAAAAGCTTTCAGCTGTGATTTCTTTTCTTATTACTGAGGAAGCTCAGCAGTCCTCTGGAAGAGCAGCTGTATAACTGGAAAACAATCATTTCCTTTAAGACTGATTATTTCTTATGATAGATTTCCTTTCTTTCTTTCTCTCTCCCCCTCCCTCCCTCCCTCTCTCTCTCTCTCCCTCCCCCCAGGTTTTTGAAATACGGAAACCGTGAGAAGATGGCTCAGGAACTGAAGTATGGGGACATTGTGGAGAGACACCTCATAGATGGCGATATAGTCCTGTTCAATCGACAACCCTCTTTGCACAAGCTCAGCATCATGGCTCATATAGTAAGCATAGCAACTTATTGCTGTGGTTCTATGGGGCGTATTTATTTTTGTTACCATTCATCATCATAATTGGTCACCTAACACATAAATTCTTTAGTTCTTAAGGCTTTTGTGCAAGAGTATTATTCTTCTGCGAGAGAAAAGGAGCACGATCACTGATTTCTGCCTGCCAGGCTTTGGGTGTGATCTGTGTGATTTTTACATGACCCAAATAGTACATGTGGCCTGCTACCTTCTCCAACTTGAGTAGCTATTCCCCAGCTTCTGTAATTTCATCTGTGTGGTATGGCTACCATTGCCCCAGATCCAAGCTAAGTAGAACATTATTCAAGTCAAATAAGGCAATGATCACGACTTGGCTGCTATTGAGAGATTCAGAGGGCAACAACATGAGAACAGGCCTTTTCTGTGGTGGCTCCCCACCTGGAATGCTCTCCCCAGAAAGGCTCACCTAGCACCATCATTACATGTCTTTAGCCTCCAGGTGAAAACACTCTTATTACCCAGGCATTTGGCCATTAAATAATCTATGGCCTGTTAGATTGGGGGGGGGGTTATGAATATTTTATTATTATGTTGTATATTATGTTCTTAATATTGCACACTGCCTTGGGATTTTGACTAAATAAATAAAATAACCCTAGGATCTTCTCCATTTCGCAGGAGAAGAGTTGTCATTCACAGAGGAGTTCCTTCTGTGATCACACCTCTCTTTCTGGACCATGTTAGCCAGTTAAATCTAAAATTCAGGTTTTCTGATATGTGCCCGAGCAAAGCTGGCTCTGTGTATGCAGCAAAGTGGGATAGTAAAATCACCTTTGGATTGCAAAGGAGCAGAGAGTACACTTTTAATGCTTCTCTGGTTCAGACACCCAAACCTGTCTGCATGTATAAAACTAGCGTATTGGTAGGAGTGGGGGATGTCTCTAGGCCAGTCTGTTTTACTTTTCTACTTGCAAGGAGCCCTTTGCATAGGGGGAGCATTCAAATATGTAATTCCCCACTTGCAGTCTGATGTGGTACAGTATATTCTACCACCTCATTCTGCTGCATGTGTACACCCACCATATACTTTAAATTATTAAGATAATGCATATAGTGGTTGTTTGCTAGACTTTCCCTATAACTGATACATGGAAGGGTGTGAGCCCAGATCTGTGCTGTAGGCACAAGCCCAGATATCCTAATGCCATCATGTTTTCTCCTGTCTAAGAGTTGGGAAAAGTTATGGCTCACAATGCCTACATCATTACATTATCTTAACCCTCCAGCAGTGCCGGGCAAAAATGAAACAAACTTGTCATTTGATGCAGCAAGTCCTCTCTCTTTTTATGTAAAACTGAAATTATGTAAAAGCAAAAGCACAAATTTTCCAAGCATATTCCAAATACTGTTGATACGTTCTGAATTCCTTGTATGTTTTACACAGTATTTTTTTCTTCTGGATTTTTTCTTTTGATATGTTTTTTCCAGGCTAGAGTAAAACCGCACCGGACTTTCAGATTTAATGAATGCGTCTGTACACCATACAATGCTGACTTTGATGGTGATGAGATGAATCTTCATCTTCCTCAAACCGAAGAAGCCAAAGCAGAAGCCCTTGTTCTGATGGGGGTAAGCAAACTACTATTACGTACTACTGCCTGTTGAGATGGGGCAGGTTCACTGCCCGCTGCCTGATTTCTTTTACTGGTTGAAACCTTTTAAGAACTGCACAAAGTGTGCATTTTGCTAACTGCTTTCCTTCATGCTTCCACTTGGTGAGGAAGGGGAAAGAGTCGGAGATAAGTACAGAGGAAAGTTACTTAAAAGAAAACAGGGCAGAGAAACTGCTGAGGGCCAGATTTGGCCCCATTCCTTTTGTAGAACAATTTTGTCAGGATGGAATCATGCCTACACTGACTAGGCAGTAAAGCCCTATCAAACCCTAAACAGATTTATTGCATTAAGAAAATGCACTGGAATATAACGTGTGTTTATATATGTCGCAGGGAGGAGTAGAAAGATCTTGTAGTAGTATGATCATGTACATAATAAGAGTTTTTGAAATATTGTGCCATGTTTCCCTAGTTAATATATCTTCCTTCATCTAGACTAAAGCAAACTTGGTAACACCAAGAAATGGAGAGCCCCTTATTGCTGCAATTCAGGATTTCCTTACAGGTCTGTATTTGAAGTCAAATATGTGTTTACCTGTGTTATGAGACACTCATTTGTTTTCAAAACCTCTTAGATCTTCCTTGCTCATGCATGATAGAATAATACCTCCTTGCAAAAAAAAAAAAAAAAAAGAATTATTAATATGGTGTCATTGATATAGTGGTGCTCTTCTGAAGAGCAATTTTCCTGCTGGGCATGACACAGAGATGCATGGGTGTAGAGGTGACCAGTGTTCTGCAAAGGAGGGTTCTGTATGGACTGCAGGATTGCATCAGTATTGGAACTTCTTCACTGAAGACCTGGGCCTAAGTGTGGCCACTGCTGAGATATTCTTAATCTTTGCCTTGTTGTCTCTAGGATGTGTACAAGGAGAGCCATGTGGTAAAATAGTTGCCTTCATTGTTCTCTTTTTAAACACCTTTCGGCCTTTCTAGCGTCCAAAATGCAACCTGCATGAAATTTATTTATATTAATACAGATAATTAAGATGCATTTTTCTTTCACGCCACTGCAGTTCCATGTGATCCGCTTACGTTTAAATGTATTGCCAGTATAGCGTATGTTACTCAATGCCCTTTCTAGCTTATCCTCTTATACGGAAGTGTTTGCGTTGTGTTCTGTATTTCCCTTTTTAGGGGCTTACCTCCTCACCCTCAAGGACACTTTCTTCGATCGAGCTAAAGCTTGTCAGATTATCGCTTCTATTCTGGTGGGCAAGGATGAGAAAATAAAAGTTCGCCTCCCACCGCCAGCAATTCTCAAGGTATGGAGCGTCTTGCAGAAAGAGTGCACACTTGAGTTTAGTCAGTAATAAATTGGTGAGGTTCTTTTGCCTGGACATGGAGCGGGTCTCCCTGGTGTTGTTGTGCAGTGCATCAAAAGGCAAGCTCTGAGGAAGGGCAGGAGGCCTTTCTGGAGGGTGGCAAAGTCTCAAACTGGACAATAGCTGAACACATCTGTCTCCCCAGTGACACTAAATGTGTTACACTGCAGTTAATATACCATGTTGGGCTTCAAAAATGAATGTTCCCATCGCTGTTGCAGAAGAACCAGATAAAAATTTCCGTTGACTTCAGCTGAGCACACGCTGCTTCAGTTATCAATGTAATTCTTACTGGCGAAAGGATAACCATAAGGGTTTCCCCATTAAATGGACCATCTCTGCAGTGCTTGGTTGCACTGATTACAAAGAGATGGGTCTTCTTCCATTTGGTGGAAGGGAGCAGACATATTTGTGTGGCTGTATCTTTTGACCTCTGCCTCATGGATTGAACAAAGGGCAGGTTTTAATCTGTGATTAAAGCTTCAGTTGATTGGTTTAATCAATTTAATTGGTAGAGATTGAAACCGTGGCACCATCCCATTGCTTAGAATCACAGAATTGAAGAACTGGAAAGGGACCACAAAGATCATCTATCCCAACCTGCTGCAGGGCAGGAATCTTTTGCCCAACGTGGGGTTCGAACCCACGACCCTGCGATTAAGAGTCTCGTCCTCTACAAGTTGAGCTATATGTTGCTCCTTGAGGTAGAATAGTTGAAAAGAAGTGGAAGAGTGGTCTGGAGTCCTAAAGTATAATGTTTTTGCATGTTCTAGTTCTATAACTTTAGTGGAAGCTCTTCTGCTTGTCTTCATAATCCTTTGTCCTCTTCCAGCCTGTAACCCTGTGGACAGGAAAGCAGGTCTTCGGTATCATTCTGAAGCCTAGTGACAGTTGTCCTGTCAAAGCCAACCTTCGAACCAAGGGCAAGCAGTATTGTGGCAAGGGAGAAGACTTGTGCAGCAACGATTCCTGTAAGTGGAGGTAGTGGGTAAGCCTGAGACTAGGCAACTGTAACTTCTGACATACTTACTGGCCGCTGGGTTTATTGGAGATTTGTGCTTTCTTCTTCTTCAAATTTTATTATTATTAATAATAATAATAAATTTATTTATCCCCTGCCCTCCCCAGCCAAGACAGGGCTCAGGGCGGCAAACAACCGATAACAAAAACAAGTTGATTAAAATACAATTTTAAAAGATTGAAATACAACATTAAAACATTAGGATGCAGCCTCTTCACAGGAGGAGAAAGGAAAGAGAAAGAGGGAGAGGGAATCAAACTGATTCTAAGCCAAAGGCCAGATGGAACAACTCTGTCTTACAGGCCCTGCGGAAAGAAATCAGATCCCGCAGGGCCCTGGTCTCATGAGACACAGCGTTCCACCAGGCCGGAGCCAGTGTTCAGAAGACCCTGGTTCTGGTTGAGGCTCATCTAACTTCCTTAGGGCGCGGGACCTCTAGGGTGTTGCTATTTATGGACCTTAAGGTCCTCTGTGGGGCATACCAGGAGAGGCGGTCCCGTAGGTACGAGGGTCCTAGGCCGTGAAGGGCTTTAAAGGTCAAAACCAGCACCTTAAATCTGACCCTGTACTCCACCGGGAGCCAATGCAGCTGGAAAAGCACTGGGTGAATATGCTCCCATGGCAGAGACCCTGTGAGGAGCCTCGCTGCAGCATTCTGCACCCGCTGGAGTTTCTGGGACAGCTTCAAGGGCAGCCCCGCGTAGAGCAAATTACAGTAGTCAAGCTGGGAGGTGACCGAAAATACTTTTCAGATTTATACATTTCACTGATTTTACTATCATTTTGATGCTTCAAAACTTGACTTCCTTCTCCCTGTTTCTGCGATTCCTTAAATTTATTTAATACCTCCTGCATACCCAAATTAACTTAACTTGCTCATTTATTCATCTTCTTTAAATATATACTGTTATGAAACTGTTTGGCAAGTGCAGTGCAGATTGTTTCTTTCATAGGAGCTGAACGTTGGGCAAAACCTGAGCAATCTGACTTTGTGGGGAGGGTTATTTTAATTTCTGAAACTAACTTAACCTCAAACCATTGTTCTAGTTGAAATTAAACTGTTAAACAGTCCCTAGATTATTTTTGGAATGAGAACAGTGTTTACGAGGTTAACTCGATTTGGACAAATGCTTGCAGCATGTTCTACAAAGAGAGGTTTACTTGATTGGCCTTTTGTTGTAGAAAATACTGCTTAGACTCACTTTGAAAGTCTTCTTGCTGCCCAAAAGCAGATGTTCTCAAGGAAGGTGTGGACGCCCACAGCTCAATATTGTTTGTGGCTGAAGCAGAAAGTCCTTTGAAGGATGCTGTAGACCCCAGGCAAAAATGCACATCCATCTTATAGGTGCATGTTGAATGAAGAGACAGTCCTGCTTGTCTTGTCTATTAAATTAGCAAAGCCAGATTTAGCTTTGCAGTCCTTGACATGTCAGAGTAAGAAAAGGAATCCCCTTGTTTTAGAATTATAGCTCACATACAGAAAGCCAGACTCTTGTTTGACTGTGCACAGTTATGTCCCTGTCCTTGTTTCAGTCTCTGTATTTATTCTTGTAACTAGTTTTAATTGTAAGAGGTCCCATGACCTTCGTGGTTGAGAACTTGTGTTTGTTTATATGCCCTGGTGGCCTTCAACTGTTACAAAATACGAAATGACTGAAATATGCTTGGATTCTACCACCCACCCTCCCCGTCTTACAACTTGAATTCTCAGCATTTCTGCATCTACCGTATAGGTTTCTGGGTGTGTTAAAGCACTGCTTTTCCCATTTGCAAACCAGGAACCACAACCGGGCAATGCCCTAATGTACACTAGATTGCATAAGTAGCCCTGCCACCATTATTTTGAGAAAAGTTTCTTTAAGAGAAGGGATGAAATGTTGCCATTTTGGGGTTAAAAGTGGTCGTGAGTCTGAAAAAGCTGAAAATGGGAAGCTTAGGTTGACAAGCTTCTGATGTTTTTTTCCAGACGTTGCAATCCACAATAGTGAGTTGATGGCTGGCAGCATGGACAAAGGAACTTTAGGGTCTGGATCCAAGAATAATATCTTCTACATTTTGCTGAGAGATTGGGGACAAGTGGAGGCAGCTGATGCGATGTCACGGCTAGCCAGACTTGCTCCTGTCTACCTCTGTAAGTACCTTGAAAAGTGGCTTTCTGGTAATTTTATTCATTTTTTATTGCACTATGTTTCTATCCCGCACTCCTTCCAAAGAGCTCAGGGCAATGTGATGCACAGTTCTTCCCCACCCCTGTTTATCTATCCTCACAACAACCCAGAGAGGAAGATTAGCTGAGAAATATTGACTGAGCTATCCTCTGAGTTTTATGCCTGAATGAGGAATTGAACCCAGATCTTCCTAATTTTGACACTGTAACCAGTATACCACAATAGTTCTAATAAGAGCCTCCACAGCTGACTTTTCCTAGTCAAAACTGGAGTCAATACTAAGGTCTGGAATTTGTGTCTCCCTCTTCACTGAATTCACTGGGACCATGGCATGGTAGAGCTTATTGTTGGATAACTTTTTTTTAAGAGTCATTAAACTGCACAGGCATTGTGCAAGGAAGGCAGTTGTTGTTCGTCCCTATTGATGCCACAGGTGCATTCCAATAGATGCCACTTGTTTAGGGAAGAATTGTGACACACACCCCAGTGACAAGATAATCAAATTTGAGTGCAGGAAAAGTACTGGCCTTGCAACAACAAAAATTGTCTGGGTCCTGTGCAATGAGTACATAAGCCATAACCGTGCCTATCAATTTATTCTCTGGAAAGGCCCAAAGAGAACACACAATGTCAAAATGTACCACAAACCAGCAAGACCATTTACTAAAAATGCTACACTTTTAAAGCTAGTTCTGCTAGTTTTAGGAAAGTCTAAATATATCCTGCACTGATAAGAAGTTAAACCCTGAGTACAAAAGTAACCTCAGATAAAATTCTCCGTGTGGCACTCAGTGAGCTGATGTGTACGTTTGGCTGTTGTTTCCAAACACTTAGCTAATCGAGGATTTTCAATTGGAATTGGCGATGTGACTCCAGGACAGGGGCTGCTGAAGGCAAAGTATGAACTTCTGAATGCTGGGTACAAGAAATGTGATGAATATATTGACGCTTTGAAGACTGGCAAACTGCAGCAGCAACCTGGCTGTACAGCAGAAGAGACATTAGAGGTGAGTTGTATACCATCTGATAGAGAATTACTCATTCTTAGTAATGAATCAGAAGTCATGTTGTGTGCTGTTTGCTTATTTACCCTCTCAAGGGTGAAACATAACTATTGAGAGTCTGATTCAGCAAATTGATTTGCTGTGATTTGGCCAAACAGTTCCAAAATGTGAAGACGGGCCACATTTCAAGTGGCCAAATCACAGTAAATCAATTTGCTGAATCAGAATCTTAATCTTCCCAAGGTTGTCCCCAGGGAAAGATTGCCACTTATTCTTCTCGCTTCACCATAGGTGAACCCTCCTATCTCCTGATGGTTGAATATAGGGTTCCCCCTACCCAGGAAACAGGCACCTCCCAACAGCAGTAAGTGCAGGAAAAAGAAAGAGGCAGTTTCTGGCCTCCCTGAATTGTGGTTCTTCTGAAGCACCAAAGGGGCCAGGCTAGGACAAACCCCCACAGAAAGCCAGCATGTTCATCAGTTTGACAGAATTCTTGGTCGTGCCTCTGTTGTTGCAATGATCAGCCTACAGACCTTTCCTTTGGGACACTCTGCTTTTTCTTGGTCGTTAGAATTTGCTAAGCTGCAGCAATCTCTTTAGGTGAATTCTTGAAATGGTCAGCTTATTAACTGTAAGTCTCCTCCCAGGCGCTGATTCTGAAAGAGCTGTCCGTGATCAGAGACCATGCTGGCAGTGCCTGCCTTCGAGAACTAGACAAGAGTAACAGCCCCCTCGTCATGGCTCTTTGTGGTTCCAAAGGTAAGCTTGTGAGGACTTTAGAAAACAAATGGCTGCTGCCCACTCGTTTTTCTTTTTGTGTTGCCAATAAATAAAGAAGGCGGCAAAAGGTTATGGTTGCGGTTCAGACAACACTTGGATCTAGAACAGGAAGCACAGGTTTAGATGTAATTCCAAGTCCATGCAGATGGTCTTTGAACCTGAGACAGCCCATATGACCAGCATCTATTTGAATCTGAGTTGCATTGCATATTGGTGCACAGTTAGGAACCAAAGATCAGTGGCGTGGGCAAAGATCGTACTGCCATGCCAATGTTATGCACTGTGGCTTAAATGGCATGCTAGCAGCATGAAACACTGCACAGGTAAGTTTTGCTTCTGGTTTTTACATGGCAGCACCCCATTTTAAATTGGAAACTTTCCCACGTCATTTCTGTACCTCCTACATAGCACAGTTGCTTAAAGACCAAGCAGCTGCATCTTAATTTTGCGTTCAGTTGTTTGCTCTCTACCCAACTCTAGATAGATTGTTCTTAATTCATTGGGCTGATATGTATGAGAATGTATGGGAATGCTGATACGTATGCTGATATGTATGGGAATTTTGTCTGCTTTTTTTTTGCCCGTGCAACATTGCAAACTGGTTCTCCAGCTCTAGTTGAACTGGCATGTCAAGTGCCAGCCCTTCCTATGAGGGTGCAATCAAACCAAATACTCCCTGTTGGCATTCTGATAGGATAAGAATTCCATTTTGGGCACTTCATGTGTGTGTTTTTTTAAAAGGTAATGAATACTAAAGCTTTTTGCACAGATCTACATTAAATGCAAGCCCAACGTGATTCATAAATAATGGGGCACTTTTGCAGTGGGTTGTATCCAGTGCTGCCACTTCAGTTGTGCCACAGAAATTTTGCGCTCTCTCCTGCACACCCTCATAATCTGCTCCAGATTTTGAAAATGTGCACGCACATTCTCTTTTCTCTTTTATTTCTTTTACTAGTTTTGGTTTAGATTAGTTTGTCTTTTTTGTTGTAATGTGAAAAGTTTTAATAAAATTTTGTTTTTTAAAAAAGCGAATTTGCACATACAAATAAAGTAGGGTGGGGCAGACCTCCATCACACAGTATGATGCTTTGGAACATGAGGCAAGATGTGACCTACCTCTTTCTTTGTGGCGTTGTCTTTTTAGGCTCCTTCATTAACATCTCCCAGATGATTGCTTGCGTAGGACAGCAGGCTATCAGTGGCTCACGCGTGCCTGACGGCTTTGAGAACCGATCCTTGCCTCATTTTAAGAAGCATTCCAAGGTGAATAGCATTGCAGGACCTAAACAACCTTATGAAATGGGGAGGTGTGGGTTTGAATACTAAATAAAGACGGAATTTCTGGTGCGATGTAATGTCTGAGCGGTTCAAATCTTGACTGCTGCGAACTCACAGGCTAGTTGTCCTTGAGAAAACCTCCCTCTCTGCTCCTCCTTCCCTCCTCCTTGCGCTTTCAGGATAATACAAATGACCTACCCCATAGGGTTGCTACAAGGACCAAGACATGATAATGTGAAATAATTTGCTCTTAATTCAATTGAACAAGCTGAATCGTTTGCTTTAGACCACTGGAGTTTAACTCCATAAGGATGTAACGGTTCCAGTGGGCAACTTGCCCAGATCTTGATCTCTTATCCTTCTCGCTCCTCTTGCTTCTCCCCAGCCGCAAGTTGGCAGGCATCAAATTTAGAGCATTCTCCTCCTCTGTGTTGTCCATTATAGCTAGTTCTCTTTCCCACTCCCCGGGAAGCAGAGAGGCCTGTGGCTTCTTGTACTGGAATTGGAATCCTCTAGAGCCAACCAGGAATTGGCGAACTAAAAGCAAGAAAATGGGGGGGGGGGTTTCCTGCCAGTTATTCTGGACTCCATCTCCCATCATCCTTCACCCTTGGCCATGCTGGCTTGGACCGATGAGAGCTGGAATCGAGCAACATCTGGAGGGCCATCAGTTCTCCACCCTTGGTGTAAGGAGTAAATACAGGACATAAATGTTGGGAATCGGCCTGTGGCGAAGGAATTCCAAGAAGTTTAGCAGTCACGCTGGATCGTTGATACAGAAAGCAATTCTGTGAACAACCTGTAGGAAATACTTTGTTAAGAGTGGAGCTTTTACTATAGGATATTTTACTGTGTGCAAAAGGGCCACCCCTCCATCCTTTCTTGACCTCACTGGCACTCCTAGGAGATGAGTTCTCACATTTTCTAGAGCTGATAATTTCATCTGTTCATGCAGCACTTCTTGAAGAGGTACAGATAATAGCTGTAAAGATAATAGCTATATTATCGTACCTGTAATACTGTATTTTTCCATGTATAAGATGTTTTTTGTTTTGTTTCTTTGCTTAAAAACAGTCAAAAATTGGAGGTCGTCTTATACACAGATGGTGAATGCACAGGGGTTTGGGCTCTGGTGCGGGTGGTTCTGGCCCGATTTTTTAATTTTGGATTAAAAAATAAAAAAGGGTAAAGGACCCCTGGACGGTTAAGTCCAGTCAAAGGCGACTACGGGGTTATGGCGCTCATCTCGCTTCAGGCCAAGGGAGCCAGGCGTTTGTCCACAGACAGCTTTCTGGGAACGGCCGCCAAGACCATATAACACCAGTCTTGAAAGACCTACACTGGCTCCCAGTACGTTTCTGAGCACAATTCAAAGTGTTGGTGCTAAGCCCTAAACAGCCTCGGTCCAGTATACCTGAAGGAGCGTCTCCACCTCCATCGTTCTGCCAGGACACTGAGGTCCAGCGCCAACGGCCTTCTGGCAGTTGCCTCACTACGAGAAGCCAAGTTACAGGGAACCAGGCAGAGGGCCTTCTCGATAGTGGCACCTGCCCTATGGAACGCCCTCCCACCAGATGTCAAAGAGAAAAATAACTACCAAACTTTTAGAAGACATCTGAAGGCAGCCAGCCCTGTTTAGGGAAGCTTTTAATATTGAATAGGTTATTGTATTTTAGTGTTCTATTGGAAGCCGCCCAGAGTGGCTGGGGAAACCCAGCCATTTGGGTGGGGTAAAAATAATAAATTGTTGTTGTTGTTCCGGGTCATGTGGCCAGCATGACTAAACCGCTTCTGGCACAACGGAACCACCATGATGGAAACCAGAGTGCACGGAAACACCGTTTACCTTCCCTGCTGCAGCAGCACCTATTTATCTACTTTCACTGGTATGCTTTCGAAGTGCCAGGTTGGCAGAAGCTGGGATAGAGCAACGGGAGCTCACTCCATCGCAGGGATTCAAACCACCGACCTTCCGATGAGCAAGCCCAAGAGGCTCAGTGGCTCAGACCACAACGCCACCCGCATCTCCCAAAAAATAGGGGTTGCCTTATACATGGAAAAATACGGTATATGAAGTCTGAAGTCAGTGTTCTCATGGTTTGCATGTTTGTTTATTATAATTTCTATATAATTAACAAGGAGCTAAAGGTGGCATGTATGGTTGTCCCGCTCTTGCTTTATTCTCACAGCAACCCTGAGCGGTAGGTTGGAGTGAGAGATTGGCCCAACATCACCCGGGATGCTTCATAGTGTGCATCTTGGGTCTCCCTGGTCCTACTCTGACATTATTGGCTACTGCACCTCACTGACTCTGAGTGCATTTTCTACTGCAGCACATTTCAGGTCTTTTTCTCCCCTCTTACAGCTTCCAGCAGCGAAAGGTTTTGTTGCCAACAGCTTCTATTCTGGCTTGACGCCCACTGAGTTTTTCTTCCACACCATGGCTGGTCGAGAAGGCCTGGTTGATACTGCTGTAAAAACAGCTGAAACGGGATACATGCAGGTAACTTGGGGATACTTTGCTGTGGGAGGAGACCGTGTTAGTGTAGCAGAACACTCATGAGCAATTCCTATCCGTTACATGTAAAGGTTCGTTTTCCTTACCGAAGTCAAGAAAATAACTAGCATTCCTCTCCCAGTTTGTGGCCTCATTCTTCCTCAAGGTTCAATTCTGATGATGAAGAAGGAATCTTGTATCTCTAGAAATGTCTATACTACATCTCTAGAAAGATTCCTATATCTGTAGACGTATATTGTGATTGTAGGAAATTTTGTGGGTCTTCCCTTTATGTCCGATTTGTCTTTTTACCATGAGGGGCAGTCTTGCAAAAACAGCAAACATTTATTGCAAGCTGTCCAGCAAGCTACCAGTGTTAATACACATGTAATGTGTTCGTGACTAGAAAGAAAAAGACCAGACTCCTTTCATTTTATCCATTTTTTCTGTCTGGTTGCTTGGAGTCAATTCTTTCTATTTGCAGCTAACCAGCTAAGTAGTCATTTGGAAACCTGTGTGAGGTTGTTTCATATGAGAGGATTTTTGTCTCATCAGCTGAATTCTACCTAGCAAAGGAGCTCAAAACTCCAGATTATCTCCCCCCCCCCCAAAAAAAAATATCCATGATACTTTAAAAGATGACTTGGTCTTGCCTTCATCCCTTCTACAGGCTTCAATGCTTAGAAATATGGGATGGGATGCATTTTTTTCAAATAATCTGTTTTTTAAAAATTGAGACTTTGATAAAGAACATTTAATGAGATTTATCCAAGCCAAACCAGGCAGCAATACCTCAAGAATTGTACCTTGATTGCCTTTAATGCAATATTAAGTGTTTGAAATGTTCCCTGAAAAGATTCAAATGGAGGGGGACTTTCAGTGTGATGGTTCCTATTTATTACACCATGGGTGATATTTCCAGACCTGTAATGACTCTCAAAATGCAGCACAGTTGCTCATCCTGTGTTTGGCAGTGCGAATTGGCCACACCACCCACATTTTAGAAGTTTTGTAATCTGCATTACTAGATAGGTCCTGAAGGAGTTGTCTTCCCTTGCTTCCCAGAGACGGCTGGTAAAATCCCTTGAAGATCTGTGCTCACAGTATGACCTGACTGTCAGGAGTTCTACCGGTGACATTATACAGTTCATTTATGGCGGAGATGGCTTAGATCCTGCAGCTATGGAGGGAAAAGATGAACCTCTGGAGTTCAAGCGTGTCCTGGACAACATCAGAGTAAGTTTAAAACGGTATCAATAAATGTCAACATACTACTGTAGCCTTATTAGACTTTACCAATTGGTGGGCTCTGCGTTGCTCCCGGACGGGAGGAAGGAAGTCAAATGACACCGAGGGTTGGTTCAGAGAAAGAGTGATTTATTTCCGCTCTCCGGAGCAGCAGAAAGGCACACGCGTGGTCAGTCCACAGCAAGTCCAAAGAAATGAGAAATTTCATGCAGTATATATATCCTCCAGGCACCCTCTCCCCCTTCCCCAGGAATCCAGCCACGTCAGCTTGTACACACAGGTTGACATCACAGATGTTCCTGCTCCGGCACCCTTAATCATAAAAGGGATTTCCTTCCTGTACTCCTGACCATAAAAGGGTTTTCCTTCCTACACTCTTATCTTGGAGCAAGAGGTCACCAACTCCAAGAACACACTCTGGCGCTGTTCCCGGACTAGGTCTGTGCGTCAGAGTGTGGTCAGGACGTAAGATAAGACCTAGACATGTCATCCCTACTCCACTGGAACAGCCAAGGTCATTCCTTCACTACAAAGCTTGAAGGAAATCTTCCTGTTGGATTTTAGTGAATGGACCTTCCAGTCCTCGTTTCAGCATCTACCAATTAAATATGCTACAGAATTCTTAATCTTGTATCTGTTTTCTTTCATCTGTCTTTGACCTTGGATGACTCAGTTGGTTAGAGTGTGGAGCTACTGACGCCAATGTTGCAGGTTCGATTCCCTGTGTAGGACGGCTGCATATTTCTGCATTTCAGGGGGGTTGATCCTCAGGGTCCCTTCCAGCTGTACAATTATACGATTCTAATGGAGATTGGGGGTCTTTGTAAGAATTGGGCATTTTGCCCTAAATGATAGGATTTGATTAAAAAGCGGGAAGGGAGTTGGGCACATCCAGTTTGAAAGCATATTAAATTGTCTGAAGGAATTAAATTGAAAAGGCCCTTGTAATGTGTCTGTGTACTACTTTGTTGTTTAAGGCAGTGTATCCAAGCCGAAGTGAGCCAGCACTTAGTAAAAATGAATTGGTGTTAACGGCTGAATCCATCATGAAGAAGAACGAATTCCTTTGCTGCCAGGACAGCTTTCTACAGGTGATGTCTTTGCGTCGTTTTCTTTTTCACACGATCATTAGTCCTTTACAAACAGCTCTCCCCAGAACACAAAGCAGCACGATTCAGTAATCTTACCTGTTTTCTGCTTCGATGGCACCATCTCAGTTGTTAAATAGACAGATTTTGGGTTAAAATGCAGGTGTTTGTGCTCTGCCTTCTGAGGAATTGTTTTTATTTGCCAGTTAGGAACTGATGAGGTGCCTAAATATTCACTTTTAAAGGCAGCACTTTCTTGTAAATATGAGACAGGACTCTGTTGCTTTGATTTTCCGTGACTGGCATAATTATTGGTTTGCAGTAGCAGGGATTTGGTTCAGAAAGTGCATTAACATTTGCTTTCCTATGAATAGTTTATTTCAATAACAGCAAAATACCTATTACTTTGTTTTTTTCCTGTTCTTTCTTGAAGGCGTTTACTGAAACAGGTTATGCAGTGTACAATGAGGTAATTGTAGCATGTGTGTGCACTATGTAGAACTTTATAGCAGTGACGCTTCTGGAATTGAAACTGTTTTGTATTACTAACCCCCAGTTCATATGTTCATTGGTGCTGGAACTTCCATCCACCACCTCCCTCTTGCCACCGTTCTTGGACAGCCCTTTGGTTCCACTGCCAACCCCTCAGTTCCCCAACCTTTGGGATTCTCCCCGCAACACAAGGATCAATAAGGCACTGGACACACACCTTCCATGAGCTTTCCTCCTTTCATCCATATCTAGTAATCCCTCTCCCTGAATGCTGTTCTGCTCTGCACCACCCAAGCCACTTTCCAGAGTCCCTGGGACTCCCATCTCACCCTCCAAAGTCCTGCTGTGTCAAGAAAAGTTTTTTGTGGACTTCAGATTAATCAGGAAAAGCAGGAAGAGGTTCACTGAATTGCAGCTGGAGAAACAGAGCCCCAATCTAAAAGATTTCAATTTGCTTACCTCAAGGTCCTGACAGGATTAGGGAGTCTGACTGATGAGGCTACTTCCCTATCAATATTGATCCATCAGCTGTTTGAGTCGATTTGATTCATATTTCTATGCCGCTTTTAATTCAAGTAAATCGAAAAACAGCCTACAAACAATAAATAACAATAGCAAAATAGAACACCACAAACACATGTTTTGGAGGACCACAAAGCTCATACACTGCTTGATTGTAGGAAAAACCTCAAAGCAGTTTACAAAGAAGATAAAACAATGATATTATCACACTAAAAGTTTACAACAGGCTTCCTCAACCTTGGCCCTCCAGATGTTTTGAGACTACAATTCCCATCATCCCTGACCACTGGTCCTGCTAGCTAGGGATCATGGGAGTTGTAGGCCAAAAACATCTGGAGGGCCAAGGTTAAGGAAGCCTGGTTTACAACAATAATGTAAAACAGACAAAAAGTTAAGCAACAATAGATTAAAACAAAACTCTTAAGTAACTGGGTAGGCTTGTCTTACAAAGAATGTTTTTAGCAGGCACCAAAAAGAGCACAGTGCCTGCTTGATCTCACTAGGCAGGGAGTTTCAAAGCATAGGTGTTGCCACACTAAACCATCGAGTTCTTACACTTGCAGAACAGGTATTATGGGGCGCTTACTTGTAGGTAGTGCCAATTCTGCTGATCAGAGTGGTCAAGTAGACATATGTGGGTGCTCAGGATGATCTTGGAGATAAACTGTTCCCAAGTGGTTAAGGGCTTTATATGCTAATAGTAACACCTTGAACTCTGCCCGGTAGTAAATCAGCAACCAGCGCAGATGTTCTACGTTGACAAGTCCTCATTCGTGTCAGCAATTGTACTGCAGCATTCTGCACTGGCTCCTGGATCAAGCGCAAGTGAAGCCACACATAGAATGTGTTGCAGCAATCCAGTCTGTCCCTTCAATGCCTCTGCTGTATATAATGTTGTACAGTGGTACCTCAGGTTAAGTACTTAATTCGTTCCGGAGGTCCATACTTAACCTGAAACTGTTCTTAACCTGAAGCACCACTTTAGCTAATGAGGCCTCCTGCTGCTGCCGCCCTGCCGGAGCCCGATTTCTGTTCTCATCCTGAAGCAAAGTTCTTAACCTGAAGCACTATTTCTGGGTTAGCGGAGTCTGTAACCTGAAGTGTATGTAACCTGAGGTACCACTGTATTCATGTTGCTTTATTTTTAAAATTATTCAAATAATCTGTACATGTAAGGTTCCCTGATGAATCCTCACCACATATACCTTATATTAAGGGAGCTTGCTCTTTTTATTTAGAGTTCTGCTTCCACCATTGTTTCCACACAATACCTTACTCAATTTTTTAAAAAAATCCCTCGCACACTGTTGTGGGGTATATGTATGGGACAGACAGCTCAAGACTTTCATGTTTGAGAATTAAAGAGAATTCATTAATGCTTATTTACAACATAATATAATGGATTTGCTTATTGGTAGACGGCAAAGTATTATACTATCAGATATCACTACCGATTGGAGAAAATAGTACATTAACTGTAACAGTGTTAGTGTTGCTTTAAGAAGATTCCCATGAACTTGTTCTAATCCTTACATGAAACCATTAACCAATTACCTGCTTATCTCCACCTCAGTTAACTCACAAGTTTATTCAGAGGACTTCACTGGAAGTCTTCTCTCTGGTCAGGAATTTGCCATTTGCTGGCTTGAGCCCTCCCGAAGGCTGCTGCTGGAGGTTTCTTCTCTCTTTTGGACCTCCTTAGCTTCTGCCTCCAGTGATTTCAGCTCTGGCATGAGCTTCTCACTCTTCCTCCTCCCCAACTGTTGCTGCTATTGCTTTCAGGCTCTCTCTCCAGTCTTCCTCTTCCTCCTTCAGAGTCACTTCTTGACTCAGCTTCCACAACTGAACCCCCCAAAGAGTGTGACAGGGCCGGCCTGACCATGAGGCAGGCTGAACCAGCTGCCTTGGGCATCAGAATCCCAAGAGGTGGTGCCCACCTTGGCCACCAATGGAGAAGCTGCTTCCGGCGAAAATGTCGCCGAAATCTCAGGAGATCTCGTGTGCTCCGTGAGATCTCACTGCAGCCCATCACTGCTTCACAGGTGCCACCACACAAGCCAGGTGAGGGGTGCTTCGGCAGTGGGACACCACCATCCCGTTTTGCCTCAGGCGGCAAAACGCAACAGGTCCCATCCCCCCGAGTGCTGAATCTGCTTCCACATTCCACGCCAGCTAGAACTCTCCAACCCGTGTATTCACACTGAAATTCTGAATGCTCATTGGCCTATAACTGTGGACCGTTGTTGGGAAGGAATTTTAACAAAGGGACCAATCATAAACAGACTTATTTTGGATGCTCCTGCCTGATGCATAAAAGTTGAGGTGCACTGATTAATTGAAACCTCACATTTTACATAGTTACCGCCCCCTAGCAACACTGACAGTTCTAACTGCCACTTGGCAGACTGTCAGCTGAACTCGCATATAATGTTTACCTTTTTGGCTCTAGCCAAGAGTAAATGGCTGGTGTTTTCCCCCTCTTCGCGCATTTACAGTTTTCATACTTTGTGTGTGTCCCTATTATCACATTATTCTTGCATTTAGACTGTACCTCATAAAAAATGTAGTTTCTTCACAACAGGTGATAGTAAAGGTACCAAAAAAAAAAAAAAGCAGACGAGAGAGTGAAACCCCAATAGAATAGCTGCAAACTATTCTCAGCAGTTGCTGAGGGAACCAAGTGGTGATGGCCTTATCGTGTCAGTCAATGGGGGGCATTTCTAAGTCTCCGCTGTTGCTAGGCTAACTTTAAAGTACATTTTCTGAAACTACAGTAGACGCAGCAGTTATACTTGCTCCTCTACTTTTTGAATATGTACCGTCTTTTTCGCTCTATAAGACACACATTTCCCCCTCCAAAAATTAAGGGGAAATGTGTGTGCGTCTTATGGAGCGAATGCAGGCTCCTTGGCTTCAGTGATAGCAACGCGAAGCCTCCAATGCGCAGTGGGAGCGCTCCCGCTGCGCTCCGGAGGCTTCAGGTTCCTTTCGCTGAAGCCTGGAGAGCAAGACTTCAGTGTGGCTTGAAGCAAGTGTGCACCAACCCCTCTCGCTCTCCAAGCTTCAAAGATAGCCGCCTGAAGCCTCCGGAGTGCAGCCGGAGCTCCCGCTGCACTCCGGAGGCTTTGGGTTCCTTTCGCTGAAGGGTAGGTGCCCCTTCAGCTAAGGCGCAGCGCCCCTTCAGCTAAGCAGGAGGAGAAATGGAAGGGGCTCCGTTTCTCCTGCCGCTTCGCTGAAGGGACGCTGCGCAGAGAGGGGGAGATTTTTTTTTCTTGTTCTCCCCCTCTAAAACAAGGTGCATCCTATGGTCGGGTGCGTCCTATAGAGCGAAAAATACGGCAATTGAGTGAACTTATGGGTCTGGCATTGAAATCTGAGGACATTCTCCATTGTAGCAGAGGTCAACGTTTTGTCCTATGAGAAACATTCCTGGTTGTTGACAAGGTACAGTGGTACCTCGCAAGACGAATGCCTCGCAAGACGGAAAACTCACAAGACGAAAGGGTTTTCCGTTTTTGAGTTGCTTCGCAAGACGATTTTCCCTATGGGCTTGCTTCGCAAGACGGAAACGTCTTGCAAGTTTGTTTCCTTTTTCTTAAAACCGTTAATACAGTTGCGACTTGACTTCGAGGAGCAACTCATAGCACGCGGTGTGCGTCTCCATAGGGGCAAGAACACGTGAAGGCGGGTTCTGAGGGAGAGGGAGCTTTGTTTCGGCGAAAAATATCAAGGCGCGCACACTTCCCTCCCCACAACTCCCAGTTAGGGAGGCCAGGCTCCGGGGCTCTTCGGACGGGGCTCCTTCCTTCTCCCCGCCCCCCCCAGCGCCCCGGCGGTGACAAGAGTGCCTGCCCGGGCCCTCCGGCGCTCACCCTGCGAGGGGCGCCCCCTACCTGCATCTCCACGCTTTCCAACCCCGCGACGTCGACGGCTGCGGCAAGTTTGCCTCGCGGAACGAATTAATTTCGTCTTGCGAGGCACCACTGTATATTGAAACAATAATGAGCCAGGGAAAGCCTGCTTTTTTCTTCTTTGTGGAATGACTGTCTTTTGCAGGAACTCTGAAACTTGGTTTCTACAAGTGCCTGGGGTTGCCACTGCCATTACGGGGAAAGCACAATATGCACATGCTCCCTTGAACTTGAGTATTACTTTGGCATAGCAGACATTGTAAACTCTTTTCACAGCCCTCTGAATTGCAGCCTAACTGCTGAAATGTATTTTGACCCTCTTCGGATCTTGCTCTGTTGCACTGCTACTTGTCTGTTAGCTCAGAAAATAACTCGGTGCAAAAGAACGCATTTCACTGTGACTTTCACTGGCTTTGGTAGTGCATTTTCAAAGACGATCATTTAGTATCCTGTTGACGGAAGACTTTCTGGGGTAGTCTGCCTTACAACAGGGTGGTGGTTAGATTGAAAATGCATGCAAAATGCTTTGTACACTTATTGGCGGAGTGGGGGAGTATATAAATGATGGAGTACATGTTTTAATGTCCATTTTGTAACACTAACCAGTGCTGGATATTAGCAGGGATCGTTAATGTAATGATATGCTGAGAGAGAACTGGCCCTTTAAAAAAAAAAGACAATTTCATAACCCACATTGGCTAAAAAAGCATCAGAGCTTCAGACTGGAGGTCCATGTTGTCCTGTGTCCTGCTTCCCACTGTGCTTTAATCCACTGCCTCCAGGAAGCCCCCAAGCAGAGCATGAATGCAACAGGCCAATCCTGTTACCCCTCATCAGCACTTCTTCACTGACATACCACCTCTGAATTTGGAGGCTGCATATAGACAGTCTTGCTAGAAGCCACTGATGCTCTTAAAATCCATGATTCCCCCCCCCTTCCCCTTTCAATTCTATCTTAAGCTAGCAGCCAAATGAATATTGCCTGGCCCAAAACAGGATGTTCCTGAGTTCTCATAGTTAGTTTATTAAATTCATGCATTACTTCCCACAGTGGACAACCCTGAAGCATTTTAAAGGAGTAACATACAGGGATGCAGTGGAAAATACACACAGTTGTATCCAAAGCAAGACTACGTGAACATTCCATCAGCTCAAGGATTTCTGCTTCCACAACGAAACATCCACACTCTCTTCCCCCAGCTTGTTATGGGATTCCCCTGGCTCTCTGGAGCAGGTTTGGGGAGGGTGCAAGGTTGTGGGGTGGAGGGAGACGTGTGGGGAAAGTCCCTTTGTGCAATCTGAAATCCTTGTGCCGACAGGACACATACGTCGATTACTGCCTATAAACATGGTAACAACATAATTAGAGCAAAATATCTCACCATTGGTGCAACCCAAATGCCCAGGAAAACAGAAAGGTTGTTACCTGGCAGCGAAATAGCGACAAAGTTGGCACCAAGCAGGTCTCCCTGGGGAAGAGCATGCAATAGACCGGGAGCTACTACAGAAAAAGCCTGTTCTTTGGACCCTTTATGTAGGTGGCAAACAGAGAAGAGCCTCAAAGGACAATCTTGGGGTTCAGTCAGGTTAGAGAAGCTCTTCCAAACACACCTTCTTATCTCTTGCTCCTTTCTGGTGTCCTCCCCCTCCGCCAGTCCCACTGAATTTTGTGCATCTGCTTTTTGCATTCTGTTAATACAGGTTCCCAGGTCTCTGTATGTTAGAGAAGTCTTGGCATAAGAGAAATATTCCAGAATCTCCTCCTCCTTCTTTCCCCGCCTCTCTCAGCTTTGTGAGATGTATATAAAGTCAGAAAAGTCCCCAAGATTCTAGCAGAGAGAACATCTGTAATCACTTTATTGCTCCTTGGCAGGTAGCTATTTCAACTGCTTTCCAAAAGCAACTTGAAGTGTGCAGTTGTGGCATGAAATGCATTTTTGAGTCACTTTTATGCTTTATGGCTTTTTTACTAATGCAAAATACTGCCAGATGTTTATAAGCTAAGAGTCTCCATAGCAGCCGGGCTGCAGAATATAAGGCGGAGAAGCCTTAAAACGTGCATTTTATTTTATTTTTTGCTGCTATTGCAGGAAATTAAAAAATTCATCAAAGCTATGTCCGAGAAGATCAAGAAAACCAGGGACAAGTATGGCATTAATGACAACGGCACAACAGAGGTAACGTTGCTTGTGGGTTGTGTGCTAATTCCATACCCTTTAACAGATGAAGATAGGGGCACTATTTTGTGCATGTAAGCTTGTGTAAAACACCCTTAATTCCCATACAGTGGTACCTCTGGTTACGTACTTAATTTGTTCTGGAGGTCCGTTCTTAACCTGAAACTGTTCTTAACCTGAAGCACCACTTTATCTAATAGGGCCTCCTGCTGCTGTCACGCCGCCAGAGCACGATTTCTGTTCTCATCCTGAAGCAAAGTTCTTAACCCGAGGTACTATTCCTCGGTTAGCAGAGTCTGTAACCTGAAGCGTATGTAACCCGAGGTACCACTGTACCTGGTATCTCTGCCAGAACTGCCCATTCCCACTGTCATTTCATAATGCTGGACAAAGTGTTGCTGGACAAAGTGTTGCACAAAAACCCAACCCTTAAAGTTTAACCTCCAATGATTCTGGATATATGTACTGAATAACAGCTGCGGCTTAAACATATTCCATAACTTATTATCTCACTTACTGCAGGGAAGGGGGAACAGAAGTGAATTTCGCTGTTGGTTTTCCCCTCTGCGTTTTCATATTGTGCACTAGGGGAATGCATAATACATCCCGTGTCTATTGAATTCAATTCCTAATTGTTCTGGCTCTTTATTGCTTCAGCCGTATGTTTTGTACCAATTGGACCGGATTACTCCAACCCAGCTGGAGAAGTTTCTAGAGACCTGTAGAGAGAAGTATATGAGGTATGGATAATTCCCTCCCCCCTGGGTAGGAGTGAATGTCATTTGAACTGATTTAGCCAAATCTGATTATAAGTAGGTGAGAAACTGATAGAAAGTATTCTCCTGATTTTTGGGCAGAATTTAGGAGGTCTGAAGCGGGAAGCAAGTTTTAGCCAAAGTTCAGTTTCTCCCTCAGATGTTTGTCTCAGTGTCAATGTAGCTAAAAAGAAAAGTAGTAATGAATCTGCAATTGTTACATGATTCCTGCTAATATGGCAATGACCAGCTTCCCTCAGATTGATTGTAAAGTTGCCCATCTCCCCTGATACAGTGGTACCTCGCAAGACGAATGCCTCGCAAGACGGAAAACTCGCAAGACGAAAGGGTTTTTTGTTTTTTGAGCTGCTTCGCAAGACGATTTTCCCTATGGGCTTGCTTCGCAAGACGGAAACATCTTGCAAGTTTGTTTCCTTTTTCTTAAAACCGTTAATACAGTTGCGACTTGACTTCGAGGAGCAACTCATAGCACGCAGTGTGGTAGCCTTTTTTGAGGTTTTTGAAGACTTTGGTGATTTTTGAAGCTTTTCCAAAACTTTTCCAAAACCGTGCTTCGCAAGACGAAAAAATCGCAAGACGAAAAAACTCGCGGAACAAATTAATTTCGTCTTGCGAGGCACCATTGTACATAGTTAAATTCCTTGCATACTTACTACAGTGGTACCTCAGGTTAAGTACTTAATTCGTTCTGGAGGTCCGTACTTAACCTGAAACTGTTCTTAACCTGAAGCACCACTTTAACTAATGGGGCCTCCTGCTGCTGCCGCGCTGCTGGAGCACGATTTTTGTTCTCATCCTGAAGCAAAGTTCTTAACCTGAAGCACTATTTCTGGGTTAGCAGAGTCTGTAACCTGATGCGTATGTAACCTGAAGCGTATGTAACCCGAGGTACCACTGTATTTCCCCAAACCTAAAAAGCATTGCAGCTTCCCAGACTAAAGGATCATCCCTTTCCTCCCCACCCCCCACCCACAATTACATTGTTCTGGGGTTTCTCCCAACCCCCAGAGCCGGGGGGGGGGGAGCAGAAGGGGGAAGCCCCATTGCAGAAGCCCTCACACATGGCTTGCACTGATGGGACTCATTAGGTCAGTGGTTCCTAAAGGGTGATGGGCAGGACAGTATGGCAAGTGTGGCAGAAAGACTCAAGGACAATCTGTATTATATTTTGGGAATATTTCATGTTCTTGAGTAGCCACAATTATTTCTGTTTTCCGGATGTCCTGTGATCACATTGTAAAGTAGTTGTGTTCTGTATTACAAATCAAGCATTGCTGGGAGTTGTTTTGTTTCCCAATGTATTTCTTACCAGTAAAAAAATTGGGCAGTTTTTTCCTCTGAAAGTGCATCCCAGAGAAAAAAAGTTTGAGAACCACTGCGTTAGGGAAATCCACCTTCACCCCACCCACCCGCCATAATTTTTTGTACTTATGATTTCTCCAGTAGTAAGAAGCACACGTTTTAGTCCTTGCAGTCAAACAAAATATAAATGCAAGCACCTGAGATTTCCCAGTAACACCTGAGATTTCCTGTATGACATTCAAATTTATTATTATTACAGTATATATTTAAAAAAATATTATTACATTGGATGCTTTAATTGGATTGAACAGTAGTTATGAAACATGACAGTTGCAGAGATGGGGGTCCTGTTGCCCTCTAGATCAGGCATCCCCAAACTCGGCCCTCCAGATGTTTTGGGACTACAATTCCCACCATCCCTGACCACTGGTCCTGTTAGCTAGGGATGATGGAAGTTGTAGTCCCAAACATCTGGAGGGCCGAGTTTGGGGGTGCCTGCTCTAGGTGCTGCTGCAATGCAGCTCCCATAATCCCTGATCATTGGCAGTGTTAATCGGAGTTGAAGTCCATTAACATCTGGAGGGCCTCAGTTTCCCCATCTCTGCATTGCAGTGAAACGCTATAAATAGTCTTGCCTTTGGATGTTCTGATTGCCTTCCACCAGGCGGTAGCAAACTCGGAAGGCTCCAGATTACGAAACAAAAGGAGATCTGAAATTATCCTGGGCCTCAAGTTCTCCAACTATGGACGGCTGCTGCATTAACTAATAATAAATCCCACTAAGCAAACTATTAAGTTTAAGCATGTTGTGCCTATGGTTTCTCGGTCATTTAGGTTTTGAAATAGGAGGTATACTGTATAAGAATAATGCTTGTTTTAAATGTCTGTGCTAGCTTTTAGCCCATAACAACATAAAAGCAACTTCTATGAGGAACAGCAGCACTAAAACCATATTGAAAATGTATTGCAGAAGCAGCAAAGGGGCACATAAACACTGAATTGCGAATGAATTTACTTGTGTGTAAGATCACCAAAAAACAGGACTATTGGGAGAAGCAATTTCCCTTCCCAGCCCTCATGGAGTGGATATTTTGGGGTGGGTTGATTCCACACCCACACACACCAATCTAAATATTCTGTCTCGGCATCAGCGGAAAGGAAGTTACCTTTGTTTCCAAACTGCCTTTATCCTGAATCTTGACATTGGTTTGGAGAAGGCTGAGGCTTTTTTTATACTGGAAGAAGACAGTACTAGTCTTGAGGCTGTTACTGCTCTGTGAGTTGATTTGCTTTATGTAGAGAAGGTCCATAATATGCCGTAGGATTGCTTCGCTGGGATTTAACTAAGGGTGACAGCTGTCCTCTGATCTTCTACTTGCTTCGTTGCATAAGGTCTCTCGCTAAGCATATTGCTGCTGTGACTCTGTGCATCTTGGAGCCTTGGCTTTGCCCTGCCAGATGAGGATGGTTAACAAATGGGATTTAAAATAATTGTTTGATGTTGACCTCCTTGGCTGAGATCACTTAGCCTGTGCACAAGAAAACGACAGTGCTGATAATATTCATTGGGGTATTCAGATCAGGGCTGGTCCAGTGACCTTGGTAAGGGCACCAATTGAATCTCATCTACCAAATGAACTCATGTTGATATAATAAGACACCTTTTTCATGTCATGGGGTTCATAGCCTTGATGCTTCTAGTGTTCACTGTCTCCGTATTGTTATTTGCTGTCAAATGGTTGATATGTTTTATTATAGGGTAAAAAAACATTTTGTCTGCCTTTGAAGGCATTTCAGAATAGGTTAATTATATATAGGAGACCCTGATTGTTGCTGGAGGAGCTGAAGGATGTTCACAGATTTATCTGGGCAGCCAATTTTCAGAAGGACAGTCCACAGGGCATTACGATTTACATTGTCGAATGCCTTTGTCAGGTCAAAAAATGCCATATACAGGGGTTGGTTTTGCTCTCTGCATTTTTCTTGAAGCTGTTGAGCAGTGAAAACCATGTCCACTGTCCCCCTAGAAGGCCAAAAACCATTTTGGGATTCAGGAAGGGTTACCTTGGATATTGTTGAGAGATGGTTTGCTAAGATCCTTGCAAGAATTTTGCCGGCTGCAGCTAATAGAGAGTTGCTTCAGTAGTTTCCGCAATCAGTTCTGTCACCTTTTTTAAAGAGATTGATAATTTTGGCACTCCTAAAATCTGGGATCTCTTCTCTCTCCCAGATTTTTTCAATGAGCTTGTGAAGTTGTTGTGTAAATTCAGTTCCACCCACTTTAAAGACTTCGGCAGGTATCCCATCAGGTCCGCTGGCTTTGTTGTTTTCCATTTGGTTAATAGCTGTACACAATTCTCCCAGATTTGGAGATACTGCAAGCTCATCTCTAACTTGTTTTTGCGGAATTTGTGAGAGGACCTCAGCAGCTACGAGGGGGTTGTGGTTAAGGAGATGTTGGTAATGTTCTTTCCAGCGCAGTGCAATAGTTTCTTTATCTTTTAGAAGTGTGGTACCGTCTACTGAATGTAAGGGGCGTATGCCAGGAGGCTTATGAGAGAACAGTTTCAGACAGCTGATCTTGGGACCTTGTGATTGTGAAGGATCAGGGAGAAAAACAAAATGTCTATTAAATGAACGGCTCTCCTGAACACCTATGCTTTCACTTTCTTAAAATAGAGTGTTTGACCATTATATAATATATAGTTGAAAGTGTGCAGCCGGTGCCTGATGAATTCTCAGAACGCAAAAAAAAGGTGACGGAAAGATTTTGAGTTGTCTGTGCTCCTAGGCTGCGGCACAGCTTCTTGTCTTCCACCAGAGTTTAAAGAAGTGGGTTTTATGATTCCATAGTGCCACACTGAACCTTTTGGGGTTTTTCATCCAGTACAGAGAATGGGGATCTTGGTCCTTGGAGGCCAGCTCAGCCAGGAACTCTAGAATCGACTCGTAGGTGTGAAAATTAATAAATACAAAAGTTTTCTTGGTTTTATAACCTAGGGCACAGATGGAACCTGGCTCTGCAGTGGGAGCTCTGTGCGCTCAGAGTATCGGAGAGCCTGGCACACAGATGACTCTGAAAACTTTCCATTTTGCTGGGGTGGCCTCAATGAACATCACGCTAGGGGTGCCGAGAATCAAAGAGATCATCAATGCCTCCAAAGCCATCAGGTACTGAAGCCGGATTTTATTCTCATCTTGATATTTGAATGGCAGATTTAATTATAACAGGGAGGTTTCTCTCTCTCTGTCAACTTGCTAGCTGGAGTCAGAGTCTGGCCACTATAATAAACAGAAACTGACAGGAGCAGGATAACTACAACATTTGATCTATCCAGTAATTCTTGCCTATGACACAAACATTTGTCTTCTGAAAAGGAAACAAGTTGAGTAACTCAACTTCTGCTTGGGGGGGGGGATAAGCTGCAGGATGATATCCCTTATCTTGGATGGCTGCTAAATGCTCTCATTTATAGGGGTTCAATGTATTTGTTGCTCTCTTGATCCAACAATATGTGACTTTTTTTTTTAAGGTAGAGAGTTATTTCTTAGGCCTACCTGTTGGTCAAAGCACAAAAATAACTGAACCTAAAAAGTTACAGTGTACCTGCCATTTGCTACCTCGACCTAAGGCAGCAAGATAAAAGGGGGTCAATTTAGTAGCTGATTGCACTATAATTAGTAGACTCTTGATTAACGAAGTCAAGATACTGTGTGAACAAGGTCAAGGCTCATAAGAGGAACCTCCATTCACACAAAAGTGTTGTGCTACGTCTTCCAAGCTATGAGCAAGATTCAGTATCCTTGAAATAATTGGTTTGGGATTCTTCTTACTGAAAAGCAACAAATTTCAGTAGAGTAACTGCAGATGTGCGGTTTATGGATTTTTTTTTAGATTTTAAACGTACGGGCATCGTAAGTTGTTTCGTACAATGTTTAGTTCTCGATATATAAAATAGAATTATTAGTAATGTTCATGGTACGTAAAGGTAATAAACCAGTAAGCTTTTCACAATGATATGCTTTTGCTACTTATCTATAGTACGCCGATTATCACAGCCCACCTTGACACAGACGATGATCCAGACTTTGCCCGTTTGGTCAAAGGAAGAATAGAGAAGACACTACTGGGAGAGGTAGACGGTTCCTTATTGTTGCTTAATATACAATATTTCCCATTATGGTTCTGCACTGCTGTGATGCTTCTTAAACAATGAGCACGGCTGAATTTCTCTTTTTGACTTTCAGATTTCGGAGTACATTGAAGAGGTTTTCCTTCCTGATGACTGTTTCATTCTCGTCAAGCTTTCGTTAGAGCGGATTAGGCTGCTGAGGCTGGAAGTGAGTGTGTCCCCCTCCCACTGATACTGTGTTCGAGGAACTGATTTGCCACAGGGGTGCCTTCAGGCAGGGCAGATACCGCAGTGAAAATTAGCGTGGCTTTTTCTGTAGTGCTTTAATTTATTCTAGTTATTGCTCTGTGGTACCTTCAATATGTTAATTGCTTCTGCAGCATGCATCTATGCACATTTTCAAAGAGAATTAATGTTCTCTGCTAGTTTCCCCCTAACCAGATTTGATGGGAGCAGATGGATCAGGCTAGCTGTCTTTCTATTTCCAGCCTGTGTCAGTTTCACACACATTTATTCATAGGAACATAGGAAGCTACCTTATAGAGACTTTGACCATTGGTCCATGTAACTCAGTAAGGTCTACATCGATTGGCAGCAGTTCTTCAGAGTTTCAGCCTGGAGTCATCAAAACTCTACTTGGAGATGCTTTGGATTGAACCTGGAGCCTTTGGCAAAACACATGCTCTACCACAGATCTACAAAACCCTGACTCTCTTCTGATCCCTTTCCATGTTAATCTGCATTTTTTTTAAAAAAAGCCGATGAACAGTACAGTCATACCTTGGATCCCGAATGCCTTGCAAGTCGAAAGTTTTGGCTCCCGAACACTGCAAACCCGCAAGTGACTGTTCCGGTTTGTGAACTATTTTTGGAAGCTGAACGTCCGACCTGGCTTTCGCGGCTTCTGTTTGGCTGTAGGAGCTTCCTGCAGCCAATCAGAAGCTGCACTTTGGTTTCTGAATGTTTTGGAAGTCAAACGGACTTCCAGAACGGATTCTGTTCAACTTCCAAGGTACGACTGTCGTATCTAAATTCATATTTGAATATCTACGCAGAATATGTATATATGTAGTTTATTTGTTGTTGTTTAGTCGTTTAGTCGTGTCTGACTCTTCGTGACCCCATGGACCAGAGCACGCCAGGCACTCCTGTCTTCCACCGCCTCCCGCAGTTTGGTCAGGCTCATGTTTGTAGCTTCGAGAACACCGTCCAACCATCTTGTCCTCTGTCGTCCCCTTCTCCTTGCACCCTCCATCTTTCCCAACATCAGGGTCTTTTCCAGGGAGTCTTCTCTTCTCATGAGGTGGCCAAAGTATTGGAGCCTCAACTTCACGATCTGCCCTTCCAGTGAGCACTCAGGGCTGATTTCCTTCAGAATGGATACGTTTGATGTAGTTTATATCAACGTGCATATTTCAGGATAAAAAAAGAGAAATCTGTATGTTGGTATGCCTTTTCTTTTGAGATGAGAACTGCGTTTCAAAATTTGGAAAAATGCAAAATCCAAAGGATAATTGCACTCTGATTTGCGTGTTAGTCTGGAGGTGTGAATTAGGTCAGCTTGTTTGAAAATCCAGACTAAATGAAATTTTCCTCCATCCCTAGCTGCACCAGGATTTGTAACCCCAGAATGCCTGTTTGTTGTTTCTTATATGCAGAAGCATCCAAATGTCATTTACACCTGTGGTCCAAAGTGGTGGATCTTAACAATAATCTGCACCGTGTAATTGCTCTGACCATATAAGCTGGCTCATAGAACTTGGCTTGCAGCTGCTGTGCAGACAATATTTTAAATAAATTTCCGATGAAATTCCGAGCAGGCAATTCCTGGAGTGATTTGCACTGATCTCTTTAGGGCATGTAAAACTAATATTGTCTCAGACCCAACTAATACATCAATTTCTGCTCTCTTGAGGGCCCCCGCAGTTCATCCACTGCTGTAATCCCTGAGCCCATATGGCCCCAAGTAATCTCTCTTCAACAGCATTGGGTTGCTCTTGCCACTACGCTTCTCTTGTTGGTCCAAACATGGCAACGGGCAGTGAGCAGCTGCAAATCATGGTGGTTAGGTTACGAGGCAGTGGCTAGCCAGAGATGGTCCAGTGAGTTCCATGGCAGAGCAGGGAGGGACCCGGTTGGCGCTGTGGACTTGCTGATCGGAAGGTTGGCGGTTCAAATCCCCGCGACGGAGTGAGCTCCCGTTACTCAGTCCCTGCTCCTGCCAACCTAGCAGTTCGAAACCACGTCAAAGTGCAAATAGATAAATAGGTACCGCTCCGGCGGGAAGGTAAACGGCTTTTCCGTGTGCTGCTCTGGTTCGCCAGAAGTGGCTTAGTCCTGCTGGCCACATGATCTGGAACCTGTACGCCGGCTCCCTCGGCCAATAAAGCGAGATGAGCGCTGCAACCCCAGAGTCAGCCACAACTGGACCTAATGGTCAGGGGCCCCTTTACCTTTACCTCCTCTATTTGCATCTACCGTCCCAAATGCAATTGCCACTCACTGCTTCAGAGGGAGAGGCTTGTCTTTGACTTGGACTCAAGTGGTAATGGACCTCTTGGTCATTGAAAGCAATGTGGGCAAGTTCCTCCTCAACAGTGCCTAGGCAGGCTACCCAAAGACATCCTCCACCTTACCACTGGTGGTAGGCCTGAGAGCCCCACCATCTCCACCATGGCCTGCAACCTGAGGACCCCAACCAGCACAGCATCTGGCTGAGCAGGCTTAACAATAGGCATGATTCGCATGTGTGTATTTTAATGAACTGAACAGAGTAAAAGGTTATGAGTCATGGGGGTGCAGAGATTGTGTGAGTGAACTTAGTGCTTAGCTTATATTTAAATTGCTATTTTGTTAATGTTTTTAATATTGTTTTATAGATTCTAAATGCTGCGTTGATTTGTTAATCATATGACTTGCCATAATTGTGAGGTTTAGCTTATTTTTTTAGTTGCTGTTTTGTTTAGTTTTTTATAGATTGCAACTGTTTTATTGATAATTTGTTAATTATTTTATATGATGTATGCTGTATTCACAATGTGCCATTATGTTTTATTATGTTATGGTTATTTACTGGTTGTAAGCCGCTTTGAGATTCATTTGAATGAAAAGTGGCCTAGAAATACAATCAATCAAATCAATCACCAGGGTTAGCCAGATGAAATTAGAGAGTCCTGACCTCCTGTTAATTTCCCTGTTTGAGGCTGAAGCTACACATGGCACAGAATGAGTTGGGAAAGTCCTGCAGTGGTAAACCAGCCTCTACCTCTTCGGCTGTAGATACCACTTTCATGTGAGCGAGTAGTCAAAAGACCTCTCTTACAATACACTAGCATATAAGGAAGAAAGGTTTAGAGCAGTCCTTTCTCAGTTCAGTACATCCTTTTTATCTGTACGAGGTCAATTGAAATGGCACTCAGCACAACCAGTTGCAGTCTGAAGTTGCACATCTGTGCAATATGTAGAATGACTGTAATTCATGCACCCAACTTGAGGAGCATGTGGGGGGGGCGTACCTGGGAGTCATTACTTCCAACATTACATTGAAAATGTAAGAAGAGGATGTATGGGTCAGTTGTGCCGCCCAAAGCCTCCCTCAGTAGCATGAGGCTGAAATGGACATTCCCCTCAACTGTCACACATTTCAGAACTGAATATTTTGGGGGCTCCTGGGCAGTAGCGAACATTGCCTGGCCAAATAGAATAGCATCTTGCGAATGCCGTCAAATAATCGCTTGCAGAGCTTTTGCCAGACTAGTGTTTTGGACACTGTGTAACAAATTGCATGCCCGCGGAACTGCGGCCAGTGTCGAAATAATTATGCAAATAACAAAGTGACATTTGTGACACAGGTTAATGCGGAGACTGTGCGGTATTCTATTTGTGTCTCGAAGCTGAGAGTGAAGCCTGGGGATGTAGCTGTTCATGGTGAGGCCGTTGTCTGCGTTACTCCCCGAGAGAACAGCAAGAGTTCAATGTACTATGTCTTGCAGTCTCTGAAAGAAGAGCTACCAAAAGTAAGGACTTTCTACCTTCTGTGTGTGATGCTCGACAACAAATGCATGTGCTCAGATCACAGCATTCAAAGGATTTCACTGCATTAGTGTGAGAATTCTTGAAAACCTCTGCTAAGAATACCCCCGTTTCATTTCTTACTTTTTTCATCTTTCCCCCGAAGAAGCTTTTGTAATTTGAAAACATATTGAGCATCTTGTTCCTTTATAAATTTGTGCATATTTAACAGAAGCGGATCTGGGTATTGCCCTCTTGCTGTTAGATGAGCCTATTTTACATCATGATATATATTTTGCTTGTGTTTGTATGTATATGTAGAGAGATCATATTTTATTACAGTACATACCATTTTTCAGCCCAAAGGCTCCCTAAGCCATGACCTGCATTATAATAATAATATAATATAATTTAATATAATTAATATAATATATATACACATACAGTAAAGTACAATAAAATGCCTTCAGTCATTCAAAAAATAATACTGGGGATCACAGTGTAATTCTTTGGCGATCACTCATGGCTGAGTAAGATTGTCTTCCATGAACACGGTCTTAACAGTGAGTCTGTAAGTTACTGTGGCAGTCAGTTCTGGATCCACACAGCCTTTCATAGTGGGGACATAAGTTTCTGGGCGGGAGTTGATCACGGTGAGGATTTGCCAAACGTGCCTTCCTCTTAGCTCGTTTCTCCCTTTCAGTGTAATAAATTAGGTGCTAAACCTTCAGGGTGCTGTGTTAGTTTTACTGAAGCTCTTTGGGAAGTTCCTCTTACGGATAACTTCACAAATTTGCTTGAAGTGGTGATAGGTGGTGGCTTCTCTTAATTACAGTGAGCACACTCACTATTTTGTCAAAGCAGTGAAGCCTTTGGTGCCCATTGGCTGAGTAGTAATGATGTCACAAAGAAGAATGATGTCACAAAGAAGCTGAGCAGTAGATGGAAGCTTAGGGAAAGAGAGCTCAGGGCTGAGGTTTGCTGAAGGAAAGAGAGCCTGACAGGCTGAAGAGACAGGAACTGGAGGAATGGGGTAAGGAGAGAAAGAGGGTGTACAGGAGAAGGGGACCCTTGAAGAGGATGCAGAGGAGCCAAGGAAATAATGAAGGGCAGAGAGTGGCATGCAGGAACTGGGAGAAGAGGAAGAAATCAGTGGGAGGAGGTGTTTGAAGAAACTGATTCTGTTTGGTTGCAATTGCATTGAAAATAGCTTGGCCTTTCAAAAACAGCCAGTTCCCTACCAAAGCCAAACTATTTCCTTTCCAATAAAGAAATCAAATGACTACGTAACAAAATCAGTTGAGTGTCTAATTGAGGTAGACTGATCTGTTCCGGATGCATATTATTCGGGTTGCAAAAATGCACACGCCAAGTGAAAAGGCACGACGTATAGAAGTCCCTGAAGACCATCCTTTGTAGGAATTCTGTTTTTATGTTGCAGATTGTGAGCCCTAGTTATGTGGACGCCTTGCCTTCAAGTGTTCTGACTGCTTTCCTTCACAGTCACAGCACACATCCGTGGAACTCCCAAGCAAATATGAAGAGCCAGGGGTGGAGGCTAACCTGTAGTCATCCCAATGTTGCTTGATTTCAGTTCCCATTATCTCTGACCATTAGGCTATGCAGGCTTGGGACTGATGGGAGCTGGGAGTCACCTGCATCTGGAGGGCAACAGGTGTGTCACTTCCAGTTTAGGCAATATTAAACAGTCACTGTAGGAAAGAGCAAGGAGGGCAAAGAGTGGGGTTTTGATTGCGATATCTGGTCTATAGCAAGAAGCATTTATCAGGGTATCTGTCTTCTAGACACTTTATTTGATTTCCTTTCCTACATAAAGGTGGTTGTGCAGGGTATCCCGGAAGTGTCTCGCGCTGTCATTCATATCGATGAGCAGAGTGGGAAGGAGAAGTACAAGCTGCTGGTGGAAGGTGACAACCTGCGAGCTGTCATGGCCACGCATGGAGTCAAAGGAACAAGGACTACTTCGAACAACACTTACGAGGTAGCCATCAAGAGGGCATTGGCGATATGAGCTGGTGGTGTGCGGCATAGTGGTTGAGCGATGGAGCCTGTGGAAGTTCTTGGTTCAAATGTCACCTTTTCCATGAATTTCCTAGGTCATGGGTAGGCAAACTAAGGCCTGGGGTCCGGATCCGGCCCAATCACCTCCTAAATCCAGCCTGTGGACAGTGGGAATCAGCATGTTTTTACATGAGTAGAATGTGTCATTTTACTTAAAATGCATCTCTGGGTTATTTGTGGGGCATAGGAACTCGTTCATTCCCCCCCCCCAAAAAAAAATATAGTCTGCCCCCCCACAAGGTCTGAGGGACAGTGGACTGGCCCCCTGCTGAAAAAGTTTGCTGACCCCTGTCCTAGGTGGTCTAAGGCAAGGCATGTTCTCTCAAGACTAACTTCTTTCCCCCCACCACCCAATCTACAATATGGGGTTAATACAGATTGCAGCAAGGTAATATAGTGAAACACTCTAAACACTCAGAAAGCATTATTATTATTATTTATTGAATTTATATACTGCCCTGTACCCAGGGGTCCCAGGGTGGTTCACAGATAGAAAACCACAAAATACATAATAAAAATAAAAGCAACAACCCAATAGCTCCCCCCCAAAAAAACCACATTTTAAAAAGGCATAGGCTGTCAGTCAGATCAACCAAAGGCCTGGTTAAAAAGGAACATTTTTGCCTGGCACTATAATGAAGGCGCAAGGCGAACCTCCGTGGGAAGAGCATCCCACAGACAGGGAGCCACTACAGAGAAGGCCCGTTCTCGTGTTGCCACCCTCCAGTCCTCTCTAGGAGGAGGCGCGTGAAGAAGGGCCTCAGAAGATGATCTCAGGGTCCAGGTAGGTTCATATGGAAAGAGGCGGTCCTTGAGGTATTGCGGTCCTGAGCCATTTAAGGCTTTATAGGTCAAAACCAGCATTCTATAGGCATCCTAAGTGTGATAATGAAGAAAAATGCTACCACTGGAAGCTACTGCCTGCAAGGAGGCAGGGGCAAGCTCGGCTGCAAGCCAGGGCAATTTTTAAGCCAAAATATGTGGGAATGATTGTAGTTTGGGGGAAGGAGTTGCTTTGGAAAATGACAGTGCTTATGTGCCAGCGGAATCAATGTTTTGCCACTTCCCTAAACCACATAATTTAATCCACTAGGTCGAGAAAACCTTGGGCATTGAGGCTGCCCGGACTACCATCATCAATGAGATTCAGTACACTATGGTAAACCATGGTATGAGCATTGACCGGAGGCATGTGATGCTGCTGTCTGACCTGATGACATACAAGGTTTGTTTTCTCCCATTTCATTGTTTTGCCACCAATGCACTTGGCCCCCCTTCCCTCAAATAAATGTAAATGAAGAAAATACCGGGGAAACACCTATACGAGTGTTGCTTGTGCAATATCCACATGGTTTACTCCCTTCCTAGGCACCTGCGTAGCCTAGCATCATGATGGGCATCCGTTTACTGTACTGACATACAGTATATCTTCTAAGCCCAAATTAAGGTTCAGGGTGGCTGTTTTTCCTTTGGTCCAAGTAATCAGGAATATGTGAATCATTCGGATGTGCCCTTCCAGGAATGTCCACACATATCCTGCCCCCCCCACTGGTGTACCCAGTTTCCTTCCTCTCTGCCCATCGCCACAAGAATGAGCAGTGTGGGCAGAGTGAGCAGGCTGGTCTGTCAGCTGCTGCTCTGACATAACTCTCTTTCCACTTGCTTTGTTGACTGGGAGAGATCAGCCTCTGCTGCCAGCAATTGCAAGAGATATTGACACTTCCCCGCACCTGATTGGCCCATCAGCCTAGGAAAGGGAAGTTGGCACTCAAGAATCAGTGGCCTAATATAATAGAACAATAAGAAACTAAAATATGTTATATATGTATATGTTGTATTTGAGAGGAGGTGGGCAAGACAGTTGTTCCAAATCTCCTTTATTAACAACCATGCTGGACAAATTATTATGCATCCATATAGCTATCAGTGTACACTTGCCCAGGACAAGAAATGCAACTTCATGCACAATATGGATTTGCCTTCTTCGTGCAGAGTCAAAGCCTATGGTGAGCATGAATTAGCTTATGAGGTTCCGCTGTCTTCCTTTTCTCGGACTAGGGTGAGGTTCTGGGGATTACTCGGTTTGGCCTGGCAAAAATGAAGGAGAGTGTATTGATGCTTGCTTCGTTTGAGAAGACAGCAGATCACCTCTTCGACGCTGCATATTTTGGGCAGAAGGATTCAGTGTGTGGTAAGTGTCTTGGGTGATGAATCTTGCCACTAAGCACAACTCTCTAAATGTATCCTGGCTGAAAATGGGGGAAGTGGAGCATGGCCTTTTTTGCTGTTGCCCCATAGTAGGGAATGATCTCTCGTCCTACTCCTTTTTTCACCATGGTCTTCTTGACATAGTGAAGTTGGTTTGCAGGTAATACTTGCTTTAGATCAGTCTTCACGATTGTAATATGCAATATTACTGTAGCTAATCTCTTAAACAACCTCTGCTTCTTTAAGTCCATGGTGCACATTGCATGGGAAATATGAGGCTTTAATCGTTTTTTCTTGATCTTCTCTAGGCGTTTCTGAGTGCATCATTATGGGTATCCCAATGAACATTGGAACTGGACTTTTCAAGCTGCTGCATAAAGCTGACAAGGAAGCAGACCCCCCAAGAAGGCCTTTAATTTTCGACAACCCCGATTTCCATATTTCCCTTACTACGTAGCAGCTGGAGAGCACCAAACAGCAAGCAGATGGCATATTTTAAACTGGAGCTGCATGCCTCTCTAAGTAGGGTTTGGAGGCTGGATAAGTGAGAGATCATGATGTGCGCAACTGATCCACCACTGCTGCAGGCGTTTATCTTTTGTGTACTTAATCCGCAGTGAACTTCAGCTGACGGCGTTTGGTTTTTAAAAGCAATAATTTTCCCTGCTACATCAAAAACCTGTAACATGGATTGTGGGACACCAAATCCCTATGAAAGGGAAGACGCTTAACGTTTTTGCCTGGATTTCTGTCAGAAGCATTAGCTATAGTAATAGGAAAGATTTCTGCTGCCTCTACCAGCTGTGATAAACATCTGTCAGAGTGTCCAAAGTAATTTCCAGTTGGATTGATGTCAAATAGGTTGTGTTTGCTGTCATATGTAGTGCATATCCTTTTCTGTTAAAGTTTGCTTCCCAAGTACACTTTGTGTGGCAACTTCTTAGAAAAAAGGGGGGGAGTGGCCCAAGAAATTCTTTATATTTTGGGGCCATTTCACACCATTCCATGTAGATTCCACCACAGAGTAACTACAGAAAGAGAGAGGAAGACAGAGGGGTGGGAATCAAAATTGGCTCTGAATGGTAGTGAATTGAATGGGGAGGAGCTATTGGGGTTAGCATTGGGATCATGGCCAACACTGGTTTTATTTATTAGGAGATTCAGAGAATGATCTTACCTGCTAAAGTTCAGGAGTGCAGGCACTGATACACTGACTATTTTTCCAGCTTAATTAATACACAGTTATGTTAATGATGAGCTAATGGGAATGACTGGGAATTGTGCAAGTGGAGGCTGATGGACTAGTAGATTCTAGTAGACATTCCTTGGGTTTACTCCCCAGAGCAATGATATTCTGTAGGTAAGAAAGCTGCAAAACTCACTTTTGTAATATCTGACACTTTTTATATTGCTGAATGTTGAAGAGTTTGTGAGTAAAGTTTTTAAGTAAATGAAGGGACTTGGAACCCTTCAATACTTTTATAGCAAGTAACATGATGGGGAAAACTAGATGAGGAAATGAAGGCAATGCCGCTCTCTCTCCCCACCCTTATTGTTTAAATTATCCCTTTTCGGTTCATATTGATTCATGCGTTTCACGTTGGTCCTAAACTACCGTACATTGTTTATCAGAGCAAACTGATTCACAATTATATTTGTATGTGCTTGTTAGTATTACCCCCAACATAGGAATTAAGGTCATCTTCTGGTTTGTTTGCTTTTTTGTTAAAGAAAAATGATAATGTACAGCAAACTGCATGATTCTTTTTTTGCTAGGCATAAAGAAACAAATTCTGAATACAAAGAAAGATAATACGAAAAAATAGTGATAATAAAATAAAATAAAATTGGTAATGCAGCCAGAATAGCATTCATGACCACTCATTTGCTTATTTTCTGGATGCCTTTTTGAAGGTGAAGACTGTGATGGAGACAGTACTTCAGAGCCTTCCAGATAAAGCCAGACTAGAGTAGAAGCCAGTCCAGAAGATGATCCAGATCTAAATGTGAACTACCAAATCTCTTCTACCACTAGAGGGAATTGAGTGTAACAACCCATATAAAAGCTGTGCTGAGCTGTTAATAGTACCATGGACTAAAAGGTATGAAGCTGGAGTACTAATGAGATGATTCCCACCCCCACCCCCAAAAAATTCACTACAAGCTTCTCTGTATTTGGGAGGCTATGGGGCAACAAAGACCACTGTGTGATTGCAGTTTGTGCTTTGTATGACAGTTTGCAAATTCTTCTTTGAGCCAGTAGCGGGTCTGAATGTCAGATCACTATCCCCAGTTTTGTGGATAATGTTATACAAGATAGGTTGGTACTCAGAATCCAGAAGCTTCTAAAAGGAAGTTCCCTTCCAAAATGTGAACAGTTTCATGTAGCATGGGAAAATTTTGCTTTCTTATACTGTACTGTAGATGTGAATAAAGATAATTTTTCAAGGTGTGCGTTCAGGGTCATTTACTGATGGAATTCTCTACCTAAAACGGCTGTCAATATTCTTAATAAAGCATAACTATTTGAACATTCATGCATACCTATGGTACCGTGAGACCATTTTGTTACATTTATGTAACTCGTTAGATCATGCAGAAAGATGAATCCTTTCCAGTAATCTAAGGGCTGATCCACACATGAACGTTATATGATTGTGGCGACTTTACGTAATGACTTCCTTGTCTCAGTAACTGACACAGATGCGACACCCCCAGCCACAACCTCCATTTGCCCTATTTACAATGTTTCTCATGAGCTGTTCCCCACAATTTTGTGTCGATTCATCATGTGATGTGCTTCTATCATGTATGAGCCAATCAAAGGATCTTTTCTTCCGGCCCTACATGAATCAGCTGACCATACTCTGCTTGCGCGCACACACACAATACAGTGCAGAGAATGATCATTCTTTGTAGAGATGATGGCTCCCAATTCATAATAGTATGCAGCAATAATTATTGTCAGTAAATTTAACACGTTGATTGGAAATGAAACGTCATCTAGCTTGTCTTTACATTTACATTCAGTGCTGCTGTCAGCTGGTTTGGGGTTTAAAAAGAGGTTGTCGAGCCAGACCCCTCCACCTCCTAAAACAAGGGGTGGAAGAGTGAAGAACATCAATTCTGACAGGTCCAGATTTTAAGCTGCACACAGAGCATATGCAGTCTTCAGAAGATCCTTCCTGCACAGGGGATTTGTTATGGGAACTGGGCCCTTGAGAAATGACAACACAAATGAAACTTCAAGTAAAGTTAATAAGTTTTCTACAAACTCTAAAAAAATAAAAACAACTAAAAGCAAGTCAAACACAAAACAGATTATAGAAGTTAGTCAAAAGGGATGTTAATTTCTTGAAAACCCAAAGCTCTGACAAACTCCTTTGGGGGTGGAGTGTTTTCTACACATTTCCTCTTATAATCAAAGACCAATTTAACTCGGTGTTCTGTAATTCAGCAAAACAATTTTGCTGCTTTGTCTTTGTAAATGCACAAAGGCTTTGCAAATATGCTGTCTTAACTAACTGGTCTGTTGGGCTTAAATAAGGTATTTCTGGTGTGTGTAAGCCCTATGGCAGCAATGTCTACAACTTCAGCACATTCCCTCGTTTTCTGGAAACACTGGGGCAAAAAGCTTTGGGTCCACAGTATCATTCTCTCCTGATCTTTTCTGGTCTTCCCTCCCATACTGCTGCTTGTATAATCCAGCCTTGACACGATACTTCTATCTAAATCTTTGCATTCCCATCTCATACCCTACAGTTTCCTGTTATATTTAGTGTCCTCCCCTCCCTATCCTTATTCTTTACAGAGAACTTTTCTGCCCTCTGGCCTCACATTGGATGTCACTGGTAGAGACAACACTTCCCCAGAGCGGAGCTACATTAACCACATTGTGCCACTGGCTGACTTTAATTCAGCCATGCAGGTTCATGCTGAACTCTTTCCTTCGGGGCAATTTCGCCACTAAAGGAGGGCGGGAGTCCTTTTGTGTATTGCAAGCTGGAATTTGATTGCCATCACAGCTATGACTATTGACTTGAGTGATTTCCGGCTGTAAACGACCGACTGTGCTGGGAAGCGAGCTTACACTCGGGGTGATGAGATAGAAAGAGACCCGCAAGTTTGCCTCAAGAGCGTGTTGCTACGTTCGCCCCATGCTTATCATAGTATCCAGGATGTTATGCTGACAGTACTATAGGGTGGCTGTTTATGCATCAGCAAAAAAAGATGGACTTTGTCACCAAAAGGGGGACAAAGTAAAAATGTAAAATTTCATATGCTTATATATCTAATTAGGGGACACAGGTGGCACTGTGGTCTAAACCAAGGAGCCTAGGGCTTGCCGATCAGAAGGTCGGCGGTTCGAATCCCCAGGCGGGGTGAGCTCCCGTTGTTCGGTCCCTGCTCCTGCCAACCTAGCAGTTTGACAGCACGTCAAAGTGCAAGTAGATAAATAGGTACCGCTCCGGTGGGAAGGTAAACGGCGTTTCCGTGCGCTGCTCTGGTTTTGCCAGAAGCAGCTTAGTCATGCTGGCCACATGACCCGGAAGCTGTACACTGGCTCCCTCGGCCAGTAAAGCGAGATGAGCTTACCCGAGTCATTCACGACTGGACCTAACGGTCAGGGGTCCCTTTACCTTTATATATCTAATTGCATGCAAACTCAGAATGATTGTAATTTAGATAGAGACAGGTATTATACATGTCTGCTGTCCAGGTACTAACTTGAGGGGCAACCCCTGTTTATATTTCCTTATGTCTAAAAGAGACTTCAGTTGAACAGCCTTTCAGGGAGAGGACTTTAGTCTGTAAAGTGAGAGATATGGCCACACTACAACCCTATGAAAAGATGGGTAGGTATATTGTGTCATTCATGGCCTGGATATAGGGGGCAAGGCCCAGATGAGGTCGTGGGTATGTATCAGATGAGGGATGGGGGTCAATAGAAATAAATATTTGCCATCCCAGCGCTGAGGTTTATTGCCAGAGCGCAACTCAACTGTTTGGGCAATAGAGTAGTGGCTGCCTAGCAACCACATTTAGCTGATACTGTATTGGGGGGCTGTTCGGCTAAATGTTGCAGGTGTCTTGTTTCTTGCTTGTTATATTTTGCTTTATATAATGTGGTTTTGAACATGATAGAACTGGCTCCAAGCCTTTGGGACAGGCCAGCATAATAAATAAGCGCCATATTGATAGGTTTTAAAAAGAACTTTAGAGAGGTGTTCCTTTTGGATGAGCAGCGATAATTTGTACTTCAGGCACAACTGCTTGTAGATAATCATGAATGTATTAGCATGATGTTTAAAGACTGGGCCTTGCTTCAAATTAATATATGGACCCCAAGGCATTGCGTGTGTTGCCTGCCAAAAGTTCTTGTAATCTTATGGATGCACATTTTTGAATTATTTTCTCGCCTTTATAGATGATTATCATATTTAATCATGCTGGGTTTCCTGATATGAACGCCTTTGGAGGAAAGATGCATCGCACCCAAACCCCAAACCTCTTTGCATATCAGTTGCCCTGAATTTGTGGAATATGTGCTTGTTTATTTTACATAGCAATTAAGAAAATGTCTTTATAGAGCAATAGATGCAGAAAAGGACAGTTCTCTGAAGATATCAATTCCCCCTCATGGATTGGAGGCAAACATATACAGTGAGGAGCCTTTTGGGAATTATAGGGACAGAACTACCCAAACTATAGAAATTTATTCATGTATGCAACTACAGCAGCAAGAATGTTACTTGCCCAAAGATAGAAAGAAGAAGTAGTCCCAGCAAAGGAAGAATGGATACAAAAACATAATGGAATATGCAGAAATGGCGAAACTTACCGGAGAAATAAGAAATCAATATAACAAACTTTTTTAAAAGGATGGAAACGGTTTACTGAATATTTACAAACTGTAAACAGATAACAACATTGGCATTATTGTAATATCCTGCAGTTTTATAAGAGTATATATTTAAAGTAGATGAATAAATGAGCAAATTAAGTTAATTTGTATATGTAGAAAATATTAAAAACTAAGGAACCGCAGAAAGGGGGAGAAGGAAGTCAAGTTTCGAAATGTTAAAATGGTTGTAAATTTACTGAAATGTATAAAACTGAAAATCATAAATTAAATAGAAAAAATATAAAATACATTAAAAAATAGAAGCACTGTAACTATCCAACTTTACCCCTGAAGGTACACTCTTCCATTGTCTCCCAAGACGGATGCGAACAGTAACGATATGGGGGAGTGGGGGTTTTAAGTAAAAATGTTACTTCATCGTAGATATACATAATATTTTACAAAGGAATTCCACTTATTGCATTAGCTTATGTAATTTACTCATAAATGCTCAGTGTGTTCAATGTGTTCCAAGGCACTTTCTCTTGTCGGGATGGGGGGGGGGTGATCAGGGGTTATTTCCTTGACAATGGCTTGAAAGCAACAGGAAGCATCTCCTGAACTTTTTCCCTTGATGAAGAAGTATTTCCTTGAAATGGGATCTCTCTGGCCACTATTAAAAAGTAGTTGTCAACAGCGCCCCACCACAACCACTCTGCGTACTGAAATTTTACACATCACTTGGGAAGACAGGCAAACTAATACCAGTGTACTGGAAGAAGCAAAGATCACCAGTGTCGAAGCAATGATTCTTCAACATCAACTTCGTTGGACTGCTCCTGTTGTGCGAATGCCTGGTGATCGTCTTCCAAAGCAACTACTCTATTCCGAACTTAAAAATGGAAAGCGTAATGCTGGTGGTCAACAAAAGAGGTTTAAAGACTGCCTCAAGGCAAATTAAAAAAATGCAGTCTAAACACTGACAACTAGGAAACACTGGCCTGCGAGCGCTCCAGTTGGAGAACAGCCTTTACCAAAGGTGTGCTTTGAAGACACTCAAACTCAAGATGCAAGGGAGAAACATGCTAAGACGAAGGCACACTTGGCAAAACCACATCGGGGTCAACTCCCGCCCGAAAACCAATGTCCCCACTGTGGAAGGATATGTGGATCCAGAATTGGCCTCCACAGACACTTACGGACTCACTGTTAAAACCGTGTTTATGGAAGATAATCTTACTCGGCTATGAGTGATCGCCAAAGAAGAAGAAGAAGGTCCATATTCTTGGTGACCATTGGTGGGGTTGTAGAGACCCATCATAGGACGATGACTGGCTCTGGACAATACAACTTCATAGCAGGTGAGGTATGGAGAACTTGCCCACCAGGCTATATTTCCATGGCAACTGTAAATGTGTTCTAAATCTCATGCCATGGGATTTTTGTACTACTTTGTACAAAAATATTTCCTCCACATGCAAAGCTAGGCGTCAGGTTGTAGCCTAGTGTCCTCCCTGACATCAGGGGATGGGTGGATGCGATCTGGTTCGCCCAAAAATTAATTGGGCTTTTTGAGTGTTCAAGTAAAAATTTTCAAAACAAA